GAAATTATTATAACATAAATCATAAACCGAGCTGATTTATACAGCTTATGAAATAAGGAAATAAAAATGCTTTTGGTTAGATTTCTTGAGAGCCTTTACGATCAAGCCATGGGATAGTGCTAAAGGAGACCTTTTAAAATGCACTCTTGCTTGGTTCAATTATTGCCTGTATATAGGAATGATTATGTAATATGTGTAGCTCTTAATGTATCGTTCCAAGGAAATCCCTAACAAATAAGTATTTTTTAAAACCTAAAAAATCTGAATTGCTTTAGAATAATTTGTAATCAGTTACGGGGGGCACGCCCTAAAATAAGAGTGCAAAAGAGCTTACCAAACCGGAATTAGAACCCGGGTCGCGTGGGTGAAAACAACATTTCATAACCACTAGACCACACGGTATTAGATGATTCTGCAAAAAGCGATCAAAATTATATTTGATGTCGACCGAATATTGTATCGCTCGGCAACTAAATTTTACTTCTCTTACTCCATCCTTTCAAAATTTCATGTAAGTATTCGGCACTTTCAATGTTCGATCGAATGCCTCCATTCTCACATTTGTTAATAAATGAGATTTTAGATGAGATAAAAAGATAAGATTATGACACAAAATAACCTACGTACAGTGGAATAATAATCCCAAGACACGAAAAATAACATCTCCCATGCCGGGAATCGAACCCGGGCCGCGTGGGTGAAAACCACGAATCCTAACCACTAGACCACACGGGATTAGGTAATTCAAACAAACTGTTCAAACTTGTTTTTCATTTCTAACATGGCCTGGAACAAACTGATTGTGAACAAAATTGTAATAAATATTAATCAACCTTGTGCATAAACCAACTGATTTACTTGATTAACTTAAATAATTAGTATTCAACAACAAATTTATATATCCGTGAATACCTACCTAAATATGAAAATGGCAAGAACAATTCGACCCTTGAATAAAATTCTCAAGAGGCGTCGAAATGAAATGGTACACTCGACTCAAGGGTGTGCCCCTTGTGGTCAACGTGATTAATATAACAACATAGAAAACAACGTCTAAAATCGAAAAAAAGATATCCTCCCGTGCCGGGAATCGAACCCGGGCCGCGTGGGTGAAAACCACGAATCCTAACCACTAGACCACACGGGATTTGTTGATCATATGAATGAGATTATGCACTCTGTTTAGCACTATACAAAGAGAGAATTGTATTCCCTGTGTTGTATCATTGTTGAGAGGGTTCTGAAGCAACGAAGCAGCTTTGAGAGACAATTGACCACACGGGACTAGTTGCTTTCGTCCAAGTGACATTAGGGACTTTTAGATTTGCGTGGACTGATATGTGTGACTTCCATTCAAGCAAGTGCATTAAAAGGACGTCGATCGTAGCAATCCCCATTGCGAATCTAAAAGTCCCTATTATGATATTCACTAACACAATTAGATAGTGATGAAAAACTGCATTACATACAAATCGACCTTGATATAATTGTCCCAGAGGCAACACAAAGGAAACAAATGAAAAGGATTATTATCGTTGATGTTATCATTTCACATAATGTCCTTATACTCACTCTGCTCTACGTGATACCAACAAACAAAAAAGGAATAAAACGTAGATTTTAGGAAAATATCAAGGGCTGCAAAAATGAATACTCCCGTGCCGGGAATCGAACCCGGGCCGCGTGGGTGAAAGCCACGAATCCTAACTACTAGACCACACGGGATTATATATGAGATAAATAACATAATAGAGAAATAGTGTGGTCAAAACAAAGAACGTTAGTAAGGATAGTTTAAGCTAATTAATAAGGCCAAAGAGGTGCGTTTTTAGTAAAGATTTGAATGTTGCAGAATTGGGTGCCTGTCGTATGAAATTGGGAAGATTGTTCAAAAGGTTTGGTCCAGCAACTGCAAAAGATCTGCCCCCATAGAATATAGTATTGTAACGGCCCTCCATCTTAGAACGGGTCCTGGATGCTGGGGGGCTGGCCTGTCCCTTGCCTCTATCACCTTCATCTGACGAAGAGCTTGCCATCCTGACTTAATGCGAGCGGTTACTATTTGGCTTGTAGTTTAGAGGCCCGGACGTGGCTCCGTTTTCCCAAAGTATATGGGTGTGGAGATGAGAGGTGTTTTGGATAGCTGGATGTGTATCTATGAGAGGGTTATATTACGTCAGTCTATGGAGACTCAACGATGGATTGTTTAACTGTATACTTTAATAATACAAACATAGTCAACATCTCCAACACGTTATCATAGTTAACACCGACACGAATTACTTGGATAAATCTCTTGATTTCCTTTTGTAGGAACTCTATTTCTCGTTTCCAATCCTTTTCCTTATTTTAGCTCAGTTGGAGCGGAGCGGAGAGCTCGCTATCTGACTAAGACGAGAGCCAGCGTCGAAGTAACGAAATTACCGTACACAACACCGCTAATTATAGACTCCGAGTGCGTCCGTAATCGCGCTCTGAACTCTTACGCCCCAAAAGCTTACTACGCCCTCTACGTTTTCTGAAAAATAACTACCTGTAACAGGTTGGTCCGTTACAGTATTGGTTTTTGGTACACAAAGTAATGCTTGATTGCTTGATACCAGACAAGTATAGGACAAAGCCGTCCTACCCCTCCACACAGGCGCATACGCAGGGGGGGGGGGGGTAAACCCCCCCTTCATTCTTGTTGATGTGTGTATTTTGGACCATAACCCCCCCCCTTAATTTGTGTGTGTTTATGCCAATGGCTGACCTAAAAAGATGACCTCACCCTCCACCCCCCCCCCCCCCCCACGGAGCAAAATGTCAAATTTTCAAATTTTGAGACAAAAAAAACACACCAAAAAACTGTCCTCTAATAAACCCCCTTACCCTATTTCATAGTCCTAACCCCTCTCCACCCCTGCGTGGAACCCAGAATAAGTAATACTGTTGCAGTAAAGTTACCGTGTCTACGTCCCTCTAATTTTTCTCACGCAGTCTGCTGAATATTTATTATTCATTTATTGATGGTTTCTATATGCAGGATAAGTACATTGTTTTAGTCCGTCCGCGCATGGACGCTATTTATCGGGGCTTCTGAAATATAATTCAATGAAAAACTTGAATCTGAATCTAAAATGCAGCACAGTACCTGGTGAAGACAGTGTGAATTGAACCGACCGCTGGGCCCTAAGGACTTCAGGATAGCTGAAGGCGAGACAGGCAAGAAATGAGATGGATGGCTACAGAAGTGGCAGCACTCCCAAAAGTTTCGTGAACCTGTAGAACTAGGGCATACCGACCATTAAACGATGTGAATAACTTCATTATCACTAGGAGATTCTGGTAACACTGACGCTTTTTGAAATCCCTGATTTTCTAATTTTGTCGAAATTGACAAACAAATAAGAATATTCGTCCAATGAAAGGAAGGGATATATTCGATTTTACAGTGGAAGAGTGCGGGGGGGTGGTATCCTGAACTCCGCATTCTGAGTTATAAGGGGCTGTTATCAGTCAAACTGTTATCATTCAAATGAAGCTAATATCACACAAATATTTTAATCTTTTAAAAAATGTTTTTATTGTTGAATACATTTAAGGCAACACCGTAAATATCTTTTCTTGACGGTCGATACATTTATAATCAGCTCTGTCGATAAAGGTACAAAATTGTATTTCATATTACCATAGTTGCTGGAAAACATTACAATCGAGTGTGGCTTTCGTGTACATAATTCTAGAGATAGAATGATACGGAATTACATGGGTTAGAAAATTCGTGTAATACGTCCCATATGTGATGATTATATGAGAAGCCACTCAAATTGTTCAAGGTATATAATATTAGGTCTGTAATTAATTACCCCTCAATTTTATTGCCTTTCATTTAATTAAACTTTCAAAGATGAGGAAGCAACATCATCTATCTTTGTTTAACTTAACTTAATTCATAGATCCGTTGTGTTTCTTATGATGATGACACTTTTCTATTCTCAAACCATATTCTATCCATATACACTCGACAACTTACATTGCCTTTATAACACTCAGTGCCCTGAAAGTGTTCTTCACTATCTAAAGAGGCCTAAGATTGCCCAATTTAAAAGTGGTAACACTTTTAACATGGTCCTCTATGGTGCTACGTTAAAACTGTAAATCTACCCTTTCGAAAAAGATGGCTCTTCGCAATCCCATTGAACGGCGATTCAACTCTTTATTTCTTTCTCAGACAGTGGCACCATGCAATATTGTTAAAATAAATATTACAGCTGCACTCTGGCAGTCGAAATCTATGACAATATTATAGAGATATCGACTGCTTTAATACTCGAGGACTGGCTGCTCTTATACGCTCAAGTGAAATTTGCCTCCCCTGCTATCAGCCCTCGGCGCGCGCCTCCCAGTCATGCGCGCATCGGGGTGATAGCAGCGGAGGCAAATTTCCCGAGAGCCAGTATACAAATATTGACTGCTCATGAGGATGATGGTGGGAACTATCATTCCCAAGGTGGTGTTTACACCGGTCCTTCTATCACCCCCGAGGCGAAGCCGAGGGGGTGATAGAAGGGCCGGTGTGAACACCACCGAGGGAGTGGTAGTTCCCACCATCATCCGATTACAGAGCAGTCCATATTTGTTTTATATACATCATCCTTTTTATTGATTCATGATTAGGTCTAGCTGTAGGTCTAGATCTAGCACTAAAAAACAGGAAACTAGATCAAGAGGAATTACTCACCAGAATAAGAAAAATCCAACATCAATTAGTCCAAGGCAAGAGTAATGAATTCCTACGCGCTGCGCGTAACCGCGCGATTGCGGTAGCCTAGCAACTCAAAAAAATTGTGAGCGCAACTAAGTCGCGGGAGGGGTTAGGGGTCCTATCCCGGGGTTTGATAGTAGCTATCAAACCCTCTGACGTAATGATACTTGATAGATCGAAATGCTCCTTGACATGTGATATAGTTTTGACCAATCAGTGAATGACAATCTATGTATGAGGTATATAATATAGAAACAGCCATTCCTCGAGTATTAAAGCAGTCGATATCCCTTTTATATGCCGAATTCAAACAAAAATCTACCACGAATTATTGCCTTATCCTGTTATCGAGTAAAGATTGGTTAAAACATCACGGAATATCTGAGAAACTGTCTGTTTATCAGCGTCGGAAAAATGCCTGAAATTTTCGATCAGTTGGGAATCGCAGGGAAAAAAAAGGACTGTATGTTGTCCGCGCTCGCTCAAAGAACATTTTAACACGTAAACCAATGGGTATCGCAGCAATATTTTATTATTTTCCTGGTAACTGGAATTTTGAGGGATTTTATTCTTGGACTATTAGATGGTTTTGGGATTTTTCGTTTCTTTACGGGAATGGCTAAAATCACGACTGCAATTTTGACCTATATCAGATTGCTGGATTTCTTTAGTGAGGTATATAATATCAACTAGAAGATTGAATCCTGGGACTAGGATAACAATAATTTTTGTGTTCTCAATATTTTTATGATTGCGTGGAAACATATCTAAGACAACATGTCGACTAAAATGAAATGAAGAGCTAATGATTGGAATGGTGAAGAGTAATTAACAATTATTCAATTTACTCATTTTATACCTGAATTACCCTACGTATTAAATAAATAGAACCTCCGAAATGTATAATGCCAAGGGGATTTCTAGTCCATATTTTGAAGACATCATAATTAGTGGCGTCACATAAAAAAAAACAGAAACAACCGGGATGGCAAGCGGAATCACTCCCAGATTATAGGAACCGTGCGCGTGCTTGTGTTTGTTTGTGCGTGTGTGTGTGTATATGTGAATTATATGCCTAGATCCCTGTGCAGCTGTAGATGACATTGGATAGTGAATAATTATTTTCCATGTTTTCTTGGCCTCCAAACAGGGGCGCACGTCTGTTTTATCCTAGGCTCTAACACAAAGCTCTGCAATTGATCGTACGATTGATTATTTGCGATCGATTGCTTGAGAGAGTGATCAACACTACCAATCGCAACAATCTATCATACGACCACTTACTAAGCTTTGTGCTACGGTCCTCTGGACACGCCACTGTTTAGCCGAGAATATAAACAGAGAAATGACGATGTCCTTATAATTATGTTGACCTCATAATTCTATGTATGCGCTGTTGAAAAAGAAAACTACACGTATGTGTTGATAAAGAAAAAAGAGGTACATACAGTCATAGTCATAGGTGGATATCCCGAGGGAATAGGGGGATAAATCCCCAATATTTGAACAAAGGGTAACCGGCCAATGTATATCATCTGCCTACTCTAATGTTATGCATATGTTTATGATAACATGCTCAACGTAAAGGCTTTCATTTAAATTTCGCCTAAAAGTATTAACCAAATCGCATGAATCCAGTTTTAAAAAATCCCCCCAAAGTTCAGCTTCAGAGGGGAGGGCTTAATCGAAAGGCCTCCAATCAATCGCAAGTTTGCAGTCTCCTATCTTTTATGTACATAGATACGATTGATATCGATCACAAATAAGTTGCGGTTGATATCAACTCTTTGTAAGACGGGCCCCACATCATTAATTGAACAATATAGAATGAAAAAAAAATGTACACCGTCTTTCTTTCAGGGTTTTTATTTCTTCATTAATTCAACACCCGACCTTGGGAATGAGAAAGAAAAAGATCGTGTAAAAGTATCATTTTCGTGACGTTGCGTCCATCGTTTCTCCAAGTGTCGCATTAACCGTGGAGCCATTTTGTCATCCCGAACGATCAACGATATCCTGTCAAAATATTCAGTGAGGTATTTTCGAAGTCATTTCGCTCAGTGTCCACACTACGAACAACGCCTCCGTCATGTCGGCCTTCATGGCAAAGAACTAGTGAAGAAACAGTGCATCAGACACGAAACAAATGTCCTGATTTCCAACATCCTCTTCCTATCAGAGTCTATCTTCTAGTGATCAGCACATCGTCCATCCAAACACTGTGAATTACGTTCGTCGAAAACGCTGAGCACTAAAGTACGTAGAATACAAATGTTTTGAGTGCCCTTCCATTTGGACTACAGGTGCCGCCGCGTTTGTATCGTGAAGGCAACAAGAAACGTTGTCAATAACGGTAATAAAACGTTGATATTTACACTGTGATGTCCAGTATTACAATTGTTTCCTTCACAGCAGTATGTACATGAACCAAACAGACGACATCCAGAGTTGCATTCTTCCAAGTTATGAACGCAAGATCGCTCAATCGATTGGCCAGATACGATTTTCTGAAATCAGAAAAATGAAGAAAAAGTAAACAAAGTCATACAAATTCAGTTTAATATTCATTTAATTGTTATATCGATGCTCAACATGAATCTCTCTCGACTTCCTGTAACATATCATGATAGTTTGGCCAACCAGGTTTGAGTTGGGCAGAGCACTATGGCGAATATTGTTTTATCGGGCAAGCACAAAACAAAAGAATATAATTCAAGTGTTGGGCAAACTGGATAGCGCTGATGACATCAACGGAATAGCCCCATCTACGATGATTTTTTTTTCGAGCAAACCATAATTTGCGTGAAGAAATTGAACCCCGAAGTGAACCAACATACTAATTTCGTCCTGCAGCCCCCCCCCCCCCCCCTCTCACACACACATACCCCCATCCCCCATTGAATCAATACAGAGAGTATGTGTCTGCCCATTATCCAGCCCATCTAAAAAAATCAGGGTACCCAGTCACCTTAAAGGCTGCGCCGTAATAGCATGAATGAATTTGCCGATTTTTTGTTTCCCCTCAAGAAGAAAGAGGGCTCTTACATTTGACGAGTAGAGTGTTAGAAATGGACATATTATGTATTTTTTCAGTTTTTTGATCGAAAACTGGGCTAATATCCTGAAATAAACGATTTTCTTATGCCAAACACAACGAGGGATTTCCCATCAGAAAATATTAAGGTATGTGGCAGCCCCCATCTCACAGATTTCTAGAGACGCTCCTAATTGTTTAAAAGCAGAGAAAGAGAAGGATAAGAGAGACATAAACGATATAATATAGTACCTACCTTGCAAACACCTGAACATTGTATGAGTTCTACACCCACACCATTGGGATCAAACTCGGTGCCGCACGCACTACTGTCCTGTACCTCGAATGCATCAGGACTATAATAACATGAGAAACAGTCTTGCGTTAAATTGGATTGCCTTGCGATGACGTCAGGAGGGGCGTCATTACAGAAAGACCCCTCACAGCAGAATGTACAATCTTCCTTATCATCACAATCATTACAATCGTCTTCACTCAGGGCACAGCCTCTCATCACAGTCGTCTGTTTAGATATGTAGACATTCATCTGTGAAAACACAAAGAAGAGAAGAGGAAATACATTATTTTAATAACAGAGAGAATCGTTCAACCAATAAAGCAGGGATTTTTCTAAGAGTGAGGGGGGTATTTTACCCCTAAATATTTGGAAATACTCCCTTCTTTTCAATGTGAGTGCTTATTTCCTTAATTATCAGAGACTTTAGAAACCTGAACACCCCTCCCCCGTACCCCTCACAAATCACAATAGTTGTTTCGCCGCCCTTTCCATGAAGTAAAGTGAAAAGATTCCGCGCAAAATGATGTTTTAGTGGGAAAATTAGCCCCACTCCATAATTAAAACGGCTACTCCATTTAGACTAAACCAAATTGTAAATAGAATTACTGTATTCTCTAGCAAGTTTGAAGAATCTGTTTTTTCTTCATTGTATGCCATTCCAGACTGATTTTAAGTTACAGCACAAAATAAGTCAGTCACGTTAATTAAGCTACGCAGTACATTAAACAAATATGACTATATTGATTGTTTAAAATATTGTAATAAAATTGCTTTGACAAATAGATTAAGTTTGAATGACCTCACAGGCGGTGTCGCACGTCGTTCTCACTGTGGTCTCCATTGAGGGATTCACACAGTCGATATCATGACTACCGCAGTCGTAGCACCACATACTGTCTTCGAAGTTGTCTTCGGGTAGGAGATAGTTACAGAGATCATCATCGCAGCAGTGTGTACACGACTCCCAGCCATCGAGGGGGTCAATGAGGCACATATCAGGGCAGTACTCATCCTGGTAGCAGCCACGGGAGATGTGGATCGACTCAGGCCCTCCTAATGAATTATTTGATACCTAATGAGGAAAACAAAACCAACAAACTGACGATTAACAAACATCGGATAATAAAACGACAATCTTGTGGAGTGCAGATTTATTTATTTTTACAATAACCCATTTTCCAATTACTTTGACTTTTTACTCTTCTTACTCTTATTTTCAGAATATATTAAGGCTTATAACCCTTTCACTGTTTCTTCACTCCCTATTAGTATTAGCGCATGCAGTCCACAAATGGTCAATGGAGCCCAACCTTTCTTTATCTCCTGATAGCTTTGAAATTCTCTTTCTTCACTTGTTCTCACCTCTGCCCTTTCTCTCCATCTCTCTTCTCTCCTTCCCCTTCTCCCTCCCTTTCTCCAACTCCATTTCTCCAACTCCATTGCTCCCTAGCTCTCCCCTCTCTCTCTCTCTATTTCTCTCTCACTCCTCATAGACCGTGTTCAAACTTACAAAGCAGGCGTGTTCACAATCGACAATCTCGACGGTTTCCGTCCAAACTGATGATAGTTCACTGGGGTATAAACACGCGTCGTCCGTACCGTTGATTGGCCAAAATTCACACTTGTAGCATTGCGTAGCGACAGTCAGCCGGGCTACTCCTGTCGATGTAGAAAGAGAATGGAAGCATGTTTAACACGGGTTTCCCATGATTCAAAGTAACATAAGTAGTAATTTTAGTAGTAGTTTTAGTAGTAGTAGTAGTAGTAGTAGTAGTAGTAGTAGTAGTGTTAGTAGTGGTAGTAGTAGTAGTAGTAGTAGTCGTATTCGTCATCGTAGTAATACTGTAGTAGCAGTAGAAGTAGTAGAAGTAGTAATAGTAGTAGTAGTAGTAGTAGTAGTAGTAGTAGTAGAAGTAGCTGTAGTAGTTAGTAATAGTAGTAGTAGTAGTAGTAGTAGTAGTAGTAGTAGTAGTAGTAATTTAGTAGTATACAAAGGTGAAGAGGTGTCGTGGTCAAGTTAAAAGGACCGTGGCTCATATGGTTCGCGGTTCGAATTCCACCGCGACACTCATGTCCTTTGGCAAGACATTCATCTACATATGGGTTCCTGGTATATGGAGAAATTCCTTGATCGTTTTAGCGGCTTAGCATGGCGGTTCCACTACAGCCTGGGTAATTAAAAGATAATTTGTATTGAACGTAGTAGAGTATACACTGTTGTCCATAATAGTATTAGAAGTAGTAGTAGTAGTAGTAGCAGTAGTAGTAGTAGTAGTAGTAGTAGTCGTCATAGTATAAATCATATTGTCACAATAATTTCATGAAAAGAGGTACTCAAAATTACTCCAACTTTATAGGCAACAGCGGACTTATATCGTAGCTGCGCTATATATCATCCCAATCATCACCGCCAATACCACTACCAAATCTCTGGCATATGCAAAAATAAGTATGTATATCCATATCCCAAGTGCTTTTTTGAGTATGCGTATATATATATATTCGCCATGGTGTAGAGGGACGGCCCCTCACCGCCATCTTTCACTTTGACGAAGACAACCTATGTCCCTATGCGTTACCTCTGACAAGGTGGGATCGACAAGTTTAGACTACAGTGAATCATAAGTCACACCTGTTATACAGACTTAACCTACGATACTACATCATGATAAAAATAATAGACGATATCAAGTATAGTGTTTTAGAAAGTTATTTGATCCTAATAATATGCACGGGGAAGTCCAACCTTGATAGCTAACTACTCTAGAAGAAATCAGGAAAATCAGAGAAGTAGAATGGTAAAAGTTTGAATGGAATCGGGAAAAAAAGGTATTTGAGAGTTATGAACTTTTGAAAGTTGTAATCATTGTAGGTATAGGCCCTTCAATTGGCTGAATCGGTGAGGGAAGTGAGGGGAAGGAAAGTGAAAAATATAAAATGATAAGACACCCTTCCAATTTCCCATAATCGTTGGGCAATTACTAACTAACATTTCATAAAGGCAATATGATCAACCCCCTAATGCCAGTGCCCCCTTAATAACCGGGCACTCGCTACGCCACTGAAAATTTAAATGCAACTGTTACATGGTGTATTTTAGGAAATAATAAGTCATCACTGATATCTTAGGTCATGTGCTATGTATTGCTGACCTAACGGTCATGGATTCAACTTAGAAGGGGCCAGGCTGAGGGCTTGTGCGCACATATTGTCTAGAAGACTAAATGCTTCCAGTGCAGAGACGGGGACGATGTACTCTCCCTTTCCATGAACCTGGGAGTATTCTTTGGCAAACAAGTCCGAGAAAACAAATTCCATAATCAGAAAACACGGTCCCTCTTAAAAGAACCCCTCCCCCATACGAAACAAATACAAATACAAAAACGCAAGACTCAAAAAAAACAAAAACAAACAAACAAAAAAAAAAAAAAAAAAAAAAACAAGAAACAAAATCAAACACAAAAAGGTCACCCCTTTTCATCAACATTCTCTGACAAACAAAAAGGGGAAAACATTATTTTGTACGAACAATCATAACTTCTCTTACCTCATATTTTATGTATATAGGCATAAACTATGAAGTACGAGATTGATTCATTTCTGTTTGCCATTATCACAAAGTGTCAATTTGTTGTTTGTCTGTTTAACATTTATCCTTCCTGTAAAGCGCATTGAACAACATTTTATCGGATTTCGCGCTATTTTGTATGTATGTATGTGTATATATATTATGTTGTATGTATGTATTTCATTTCATGTCATTTCCTTTTTATTTTTTCATTTCCAAAAAAAAAAAATACATGATAACGAATACAATGTAAAATGTATACAAAACACAGTTACATTTGTAATAAACAAATCTTAATAGTAATTTATACATTTGAGGAAGACAAAAATTGAATTATACATTTAACTGCATTTGTATTTTGAGGAAATGGAGAGGTCCACTGAAAAGCAAAGCTTGTAAATTGTGGACCCCTCAGATAACAATGAGTGTGAAAAGAGTATAGAATACATAAACAATCAAAAAAAGAATTACGGCCAAGAGAGATAACATTATTAAAACACGTAATGACTGGAAACAAGAAGACCTAAACAATAACATGATATGACGAAGGAAGAACAGAAAAAAAGGGGGAAATGTGGGCTGCGTTTAGAGGGATGGAGAGGAGAGAAAATGAAAATTGTAGAGACGAGCACGAGATAGGAGCGCACAAAATTATTGAGATAGCTGAAACAAAAAGAGCAAGAACATGATGGCAAGTAGTATGGATTTTTAGAGATGGGCAGAAGAAAAGAGAGAAAAAAAGAAAAGAAAATGGGAAGGACATGTTCTACCACAATAAATGTCTAAATATTATACGATTTTAATAAGGAAAATTTCAACTTTTTGTTAAAAGCAATAAATGAAGTGAAAGTTTTCACATCGTTATGCAGAGTATTCCAAAATTTAGGGCCTATAAAAATAAACGTGTTCTGTGCAGAATGTGTTCTCAAAAGAGGTAAGTGAAACTCATCGGATTGTCGAGTGGGGTATTTATGAACAGCATGGTTTTTAAGAAACATATCATTAAACACAGAAGGCAGTATGCCACTATTGTAATTAAACATAAATTGACCGAGCTGAAATAAGTACAGATCCCTATTTTTTAAGATGTTATTATCAAAGAGCAGAGGATCAGTATGGGAGCGTACGTATAGGGGCATTACAGATAATACGAATAAACTCTCTTTCGCAGCAATAGAACTCTTTCCAACAATTCCATCGTCATTTGAGCACGTTTCATCACCAAAGTCTTCTAGTTTAGAACTAGAATATGACCTTGAGCATCATGGCTCTACTGTAGAGCTTAGATCAAGAATGAATTGAAATACACATGCCATTTGACATTACGTTCAGAAGAACTCCACAACACATGGTAATGAATGACAACAACTAACTGACTTTATACTCTGGACTAGCAAAATACTAACAAATGTCATTTTCAAAGAAAGAAACTAAAGCTGACCACCGTCTCTTCACAAAGCAAACAATTTAAACTTAAAAGTAGAATAGTCAGTGATTAAACAAATGGATTTAATTATACACAAAGTGAAAACCACCCGTACCAATTGATTTAAATACATGTAAGGTAGTGTACATGTAAATTGGTCGATACAAAACATGCAAGAGCGCTGTATAACTGAATAAATGAAGCTTTTATTACCATTCCATCGAAGCAAATGAAAATTATTAAAAAACATGTTATAACATAATAAATAAATTCATGTCATTAATCATCTTGCATTATTCTATAGCACAGAGTATTATCCTCGTTGAATATGTAGTATTTGAATGTCTAGACTCTAGAATCCCAAAACAAAATATAAAATTCGAGTTGATGAACTGATGACTGGATGACATAGGCTACTATGAAGCTGTGAAAATCTTATTTAACTTAATACAGTTTTGTATTCTTTCCTAAGTTGTAAATTGACTGAATCGCTCAAATAATGAGAAATAAAGGATATAAATAATTACAGAATTTATAAGATTCATAGCAACATGGAACAACAAAAAAATGCTCATATCGGTACCTTTGATATTCGAATTCGTATTGATTTTATATTTCTTTAGAAAGACAATGTCACGATCAGCATTAATATTCAAATCAGTTTTATCTTGAAAAGAATGTTTTTATATAAACTTTTCTAATCCTGACATTGTTTAAAAATATCAGGACTTTGTCCTGACACAATCCGCTAGTTGATTATAAATTCATCGTGTTCGAGTGTGACGACGATTCTGCAAATTACAACGACCCAAAAAACTGTCAATATCCAACTTTCTGGCCTGTGTCCAGTTTCTAATGTGTTATTGGTTAGATGACGTCATACATCAGCTGAACTTGGAATGATTGTTGTCATTTTGAATGGAGATTGTCATTCCAAATTTGGATAAATGATAATCTATACATTACTGTCAGAGTTGGCCGACATTCACATTTTTCGTGCGAGTGCTAAAAGCGACCATGAAAGCATGGAAGACAATATATCAGATGGAAACAATTTACGTTATTGAACATTCATGACAGTATATGAACATTGGAAAGGATCGAGGAGGTGGGGGGTGGGGGGGGGGGAGTATTTATAAATGAATTGTAACCCTTTTAATTTTTATCACGGGAGTGTCATGTATTGGTTAATCTGTTTCTTATAATAGGAACTTTTAGATTTGCACGTCAACTTACAGACATGATATAGGTCGATACCAACTGAATGAAAGTGTCATCATAACGAACAGATATTATGACACATTGTTTTGAATTAGAATCTATTTTTAGATCATGCGTTGCTTCCTCTACGATTCATGTCTGTGCAGCTGCACTGTGCCATCTCAAACAACTCATCACTGAACCATTTTGGGTTATCTCATTAGAATTTCAAGTGTGTTTTACCCTATACCTGAGTTTTCAGTACGTCCTAAATGTACAATGTGTGCAGTAGTGCAAATTATTTGTGTGTGACGTTAAATTCAAATATATGGACTACTTCGTTTGGAATGGAATCCAAGCGAAAAGCATTTAAAGACGATAGCAACTACTTCCGAAAATCAACCGGATTTCACTGAACAGCCTTGTGTGTCACCTATGGTAATGTGTGAACACACCTCCCTGTAATGACGTATTACGTAATCTGAACATAATTTATATGGGATATGCATTAAGGTATTGAAATTGCCCTCTAGTTGAATTTTCGAAATAGTTGCTACGGTGTTATTCGTTCGTTTATTCGTTTCTTCATTAAAAAAACAGTCAAAATATATAACTGTATACAATATAAAAAATAAATACAAATCATTAACAATCTGTCATGTATAAAGATAAACAAACCGTTGAATATGAGCAATTAAAAAAGAGAAAATACGGGAATGCATGTATAAGGCTTTTTAGTTTACAGTTATCTTAGTTTTAAATGATACTTAGGAGTGCTCAAACTACACGTATAACAAAGAATGATGCCAACAAGAAAAATTAAGAAATTGAGAAACAAAATCAAATAATGAAATGCACTCTCGAAAGAGTCTTTCAAACACATATTTGCGTGAATTTCACTCAAAGTTGGCGGGTTTAACTCCTACGGAAATAATTTAAAATATGACCCATCAAAATTAGATTTCCCCTCCTCTGAATTAAGAGAATATGACAACCGATTAGTCATATATTTAGCATTTAATATGACGATTTGTTTATAAATGTCGGTACTGCAGACACGATGTTACGATATACATCGGTGTAGATTACAGACTAATATTTCAAAACACGGATCACTATCAAACACGTGTCGTGCATTGTCAATCTATAGGAACTTTGCACTGTATCATATATTGTTGAACTTCTGTATACAGTTTTACTGCATTGTCATGATATAATGTTGTTTTGTCTCTTTTATTGTTTTTTTTTATAATTTAAAATCGAATTGTGGACAGAATTAAATTAATTAAACATTGAAATTAACCATACAGACAATACTGGAAACCCAGACAAAATCAATTGCATTCTGAATACTAAGCTGGAAGTTAAAAGCTTGTTTATCCCAGTAATGAATACTAAAACAAGAACATAGAACACAATAATTAAGCTGGACGTTATTAAACTACGTTAGTAACAGGGAATAGTAAAGTTGAATGTAAGGGAAAATAAAGTATAGAGTCATGTCTGTTTACTGAGTTAGATAATTAAGACAGTATGCTTGCATGATTTTTGCTTCTCATGCCAAGACATTTGTAGGCCTATATTCTGATTGTGCCGTCAGTGCCATTGTTTGTTAATCTTGCACTACCGTAATGACTTCAATGGAGCAGCAGGTGTCAAATATACTGAAAGTATATATCCAATGTTTACGTCAATAAAAGTATTTTATACCCGAAGAATCGTACTTTGTGTAAACTGAGTTTAAAAAGCCAGTCTAATCTTTCGGTAAGTAAACGATTATTAGCGGTCAACTTGTGTAGACCTGATATTTTTCAAGTAGAAATAAAGTTAACGAAGCAAAACAAAACGTATTTTAAGCAGAACCACCCCCCCCCCTCCTCCACTGCCTTGAGCTTATAGAGTCATATTTTATTTCAAACCACTTGTTCTGTATGTCAAGGTATGTCTTTTAAAAAGTATGGAATTTTCTTGGGCGTGGATATCCTTTTGGCTCCCCAGAATTGTCACAAGATGTATATCGGTAACTTTTGACATATTACTCATTACCGGTTACATCTAGTCACTGGCGTAGCCAGGTTGGATTAGTAGAAGGGGGTTTGACACACAAAACCACATAGTCACAAACAAGAAGTTCCAAGGATGACCTTCTTTATAGCGGAAGTCTCGGAAGAATAGGGAGGTATATAGCCCCCTTTTTTTGCCCCACCACCCCTAGCTACTCTTATGAATTTGTTTTAGATGTGTACTGGTAACTTTTTAACGTAGGTTGGGCGAAAGTTAGGATGACCTTCTGACGTTAGAAACAGTAAAAGATTTTAGACTATTTCCTCCAGTCGTCTATCTTTTTGTTATAAATAGAAAGTAACATTTGGGAGTGCAAATCTACGAACAACAATATTTTTATGTCTGAAATTTATATTATGCATGTTCGTGATTTTTTATTCAGATGAATTCAGATAAATTCGGTTCGGTTTATAAAGATGTACAAAGTAATAGTCCAATGACTAACCGCATGTTTACATGGACAAAAGATAATTACGGTCATTGATTAGAAAGAAAAAAACCGTACATAATTATATTCTATCGAAAGAATACTTTAAAGATGGATTCCATAGAGTCACACTAAGAACCCGAACGAGAATGACATTTTGATGTATTTTCCCCCAGATTTCCAGATTACATTTAATTTCATTTGAAAGGTTTTGTAAAATGTAATTCCTTCAATTTTCTCTCTATTAAATTCTTTGATGCACAATGGACTACAAACTATACTCTGTAAATTATGACCAATACATGTTCATATTAAGATTGCTATGAAAAGCATAGGAAATTAAGCTAAAGGAAACACGAGATTATTCTAAGCTTTGGGGCATATACAAATGAACGATTTAAACCAACTTTCTTCTAACTTAACAAGAAGACTTAATATTTCTCTACTTCCTCTCATTTTATAACTACCCATAATCCAACTAAGTAATTAGCAAGCCATTTCCCTTTTGACAGAACTGCGAGGAAGTACTTTATAAAGCACCAGTCATCGTCACTATAGCTACATAATTAGAGCATATCCCCCACATGACACGCATTTTACACTCGCAGTGGGTTAGTTCGCGAAATCTAGAGTTCATGCTGTAGTAAATGTTTACGGAGTTTGCTTACCAAATAACATGATTCCTACGAAGATTAAGACTGCTCCCGCGCAGTTTCCAGATTTTGAGTCCATTTTATGACTAAAGTATGAATCAGACGACCCAGCATGCAGTCGCGCACTATCCTTCTCAGGGTTGATTTTAGGCTGATCTAATATGGGCGGGAAACATATCTGTGACGTCACACTGTGGGCTCCAGCCTTGCCCTCTGTGCACGGTGTACTCCAAACGTTACTCCTACTCAAAAACTCCTAAAGTTACAACTTCCTTTTCTAGATGAAATACTTTTCAAAATTCCATAACGAGTAGAAAAATTGAAGGTCCAGCTCACTTCGGACGATAATAATTTCGAATAGAGAATTCAGAGTTCTTCATGATGAAAATGAATCGAAGTCAATGGCAAAGAGAGAGAGAGGAGGTAGGTATGTCTATAAATAACCACGCACTGACATGTGTTGTAAGAAATGAATAGCACTTTTCCTGCCGGAGGAAGAAGGGTGTTTCGCCGCCTTTGGGAGTTACCCTAGCTGCTGTTGACTGATTAGACTCATCCAACCAGTCGTTTTCTTCTTCCGATTGTTTATTTTCCTGGCATACTCTCCCTGGATATCACTATAGTAACATAGATTCGGAAACTACATAAACAAACATCGATACAGGTATATAGATGAAATTAAAACTATTGAATATCTTCGAATGTTCGAGAAGCCAAACTGTTATCGCTTCCAATTATTATTCTAAAGCGCTCTATCTTCGGCCACCTGCAGTGTGATGTCTGTTCATCAGCAGCTCAGGTGCCAAAACTGTTCAACCAAATTCAATGGAATTATTATCATTAACATATAATCAACGAGAGGAAGAAGAGTATTCCTAATTAACTATAACTAATCGGCAAGAGAAGAGTTGAAACTGGTTACGGAGCATAATATTTGGGGAAAACATGAAAACTTGTTAAAGCAAAGTGACACTAAATTACCATGGTGATAGAAGACCCGACATTTTACAAGTAAGCTGTTATAGTTATTTTCATCTCTCATAAGAAAGGGCCAATCTTTTGAAATGCCTCCTGTAAATTGGATTATAATGCAATCAGTCCAAGGGCGTATCGAGGGGGGGGGGGGGGGTGTTTTGGGTGTTTACCCCCCCCCCCCTTTGGCAAACAGGGGGTGTTTTGGGTGTTCAACCCCCCCCCCCTTAAAAAAGGGGGTGTGTTAGAATGTTAAAGACACCATTTTTCTGTGTTTTATCTATGCCCCCCCCCCCTTGGCAAAAAACAAAAATAACATAACAAAAAAGAGGGTGGATGCAGAGGGAAAAAGGAGTGTTCACCCCCCCCCCCCCCTCCCCTCGCCTATTCACCGGTGATTCGCCGCTAAATATTTTCTCACGAGTTGGGGAATAAAGAGCTCCTTATCCCCCTGTTTATCATTGTCTAAAATTTGAAACTCCAGCGTTAACCTGCAGTGGTTCAATGTGCAATTTTGAATCGGTATAATAATAAAAGTGCCAAAGATCTGACTGTGATTGTGAAGGCTAACAACTGCAACGAAATACATATTTAATAAAGTGTGCCTCTCGGTTGCTCTGCTGAGGAATTCTCCAGATTTTAAACATTGTCGTCATTATTACAGATTTAAAATATTTTCCCAAATTCAGTTCATATCGCTCCAGTTTCTCAACAGCTGAATAGATCGTATCCAAAATCCCGCTCTAGTGACAACCGTAGCCGCCCCATGAAAATTAATCTTAGAGGCACTATGGCCTATTGCAGCCAACATCAAATTCTGTAGAACTTTGCAGGAATTATGAATATGTCATGTAGGTCATATATCTGTGAAATTTAAACATTAGCAGCTAGTGTCCTCTCATTTAAATTATGCAAGGAAACCCGTTTACTTGCTAGACTTTACTGTCAGACACGATTGAGTAACTGACTGGTTTTTTTATTCTTTGGTAAAAACATACATAAAATGAGCTGTAAAGGGAACATGAGCATTTGTTTACATCAATAACCCACTTCTTGTAATGGCCAAAATTAAATTGATTGAATCTTTGCGCAGCCGCATAAAACGTACGACCATTCGGTACAATGGTCTGAAAATCAGAATATTAGGCCTACTTACTGGCTCTATAGCTCTTAAGTCAATTCGACAACTAATATTCGTTATTTTCCCACTTAAAGACATTTTCAAGCCCCCCCCCTTTTTTTTTAGGGAAGTTCTAAATTAGTATTATCTTTCAAATGCCGTTGTAATTTAAACTTTTCATTTTTTGGCCTGCAAATGGGACATAGTACCTTTAACAATTGTGAGTGCAGCTATACTCAAGATTACTATTACACTGTTGGTATGTGATTCATTACAGAACACTAGTCGTGATTTGAAAAGGGACAATAATTCATTATGATCATACCGTTAGTCAAAATTAATCAGATGATTGTACTGCATGAGTATGGGACGCGCACATTTTCTTTGCACCGGTGGCTTTCCATAACAAACTGCCAACGTACACCAGCAAAATGGCTGACCAGCAGAAAATAAAACATTTGCGAGAAAAAATAAGCACTTGGGACCAAAGGACAACATCAATGGCACCACTGTCGGAAAGGCAAAAAGACAGTTATATGGATCTGACATCACATGCATCAAATAGACCATTACCAATCGAGGTAGGTTGATCGTTTTTTGTGTTGGGCTTGGCCGCCAGGATACATCGTCTTGCCCCATTCGTACATGTTCGTGTAAGCGATTTCAGACCAGTCGATCAATACAAATTAAAGGCCCGGTTGAATGATCAATTCACGTTTGTTCAGTGCCAACTTCAAAAGCATTCAGTGAAATTACGAAACTAGTAGCTTATTGCACCCATATACTGTGTAATAAGACATCTATAGATGGCTTGTTTTAAAATTAGAATCTATGTATGAAAAGGGAAGGAGAATTAAACAAGTTTGACATTGAAGAATAAAAATTAAAATGAAAGTCATGAAACTCAAATGAAACTAAAACTTGAAAATGGAAATTGCCACTCGTGCTCATTCTTTTTCTTCTTCTTGTTATACGCAGTAGGGGTGCCGGTCCAAGATTAAGGATCGTCTGCATAAGCGAGGATCATCTTCGTAAACACGGACAGACGCGTCCGCAAAAATATGAATCTTCCACATTTTTTGCTGACGATTCTGATTTCCGGTCTTGGTTTGGCAATGCGAAAAACGGATTCTGCGATGATTTCCTTGATGCATTTCAATTTGTACAGAAACTTTAACGTTATGAGCGATAAATCCTCGGGAAGGCAGCGACCCATAAAAGTAAACGGTGAACTTGGTGTAACCACTCCAGCAAAGCATAGAGAGTCAATGCTAATGCTAGGGTGTCTGAACGATTTTTCAATTTTCAATTTGGGATCGTTTTTCACCATTTTTGTTTGATATTTGAATTAAAAATGTAATCAGAATAATACATTTCAAATTTCAAGTCTCGCCGATGTTTCTATCAAAAGATACAGCCCCTTCAAAATGCTGAAATATTCATAGCATTTTGCTCAGAATCGACGAAAAAGACGTACACGCAGAGTTATGTTGTTTTGCTAAATTTAGCCAAACAGCTGTATCGCGCGATATGCAAGCGTATGCATATCGTACGCAAGTTGCTCAGCCAATGCGCGACTTGCAAGCTTGAGCCACGCTGTCTCCGCGATATGTGCCATTGACTAGTATGGGTGGCCGTTCCCGCTATAGAACCCGGAAGTGAATACACGTTGTAGTCAATGGCAATATCGCGGAGACAATCTCCGCGATATTGCCATTGACTACAACGTGTATTCACTTCCGGGTTCTATGGCGAGAATCGGCCACCCATACTTTCATTCACTATAAGCGCACATGTTACGATGTAACCATGGTTTGGACTGAGCGGAGCTCACGCCTCCCTAATTAGCTGATTCCAAAAATGTGGGAAGGGTATTTTCAAACTGTTATAACAAATGATCCCTTGGGGCTAGCGAAAAAAAAAGCATCTGGATATTATCCTTACGTCTAGCCCTGCTTAAGCCGCGGGGCGGCAGCTCAGGAAAGTGGCAAATTTTGGAGCTAGGATGCAAACAACATTTCAATCGCTGTTTTGACCAAGATATTTTTAGAATTCTGGGGGTGGCCCCCGATGGGGAATATGGAGAAAAACCTGCTCTTTCATATGACACCTCATTTATTGAGTTTCACCTTCAGGATCATTTGTTATAAAGGTTTGAATTTCAAATTTTTTCATAAAATCATTGACCAATTTTGGATGGTCGCGCAATGCACGTAGACCACATAGGGAAGCGTACAATCTCTATGGGAAGGGTTTTAGCACACAACATTGGGTGCGCGATCAGACACCCTACTAATGCATATTGACCTCTAGCACTGCATGCTTGCTGTGAGGAAGGTATTATTAGACCCATGGACAAATACACACACCATACAATATCGCATAGACTCTACACAATCATGTCGATGCAGCTGTAAGCAAAGTTTGACACTAGACTTACAATTTTAATTTTTAAATCATTCTTTTTAACATCAGTAAGTTAAAAAAAAATGTATTTTACTGCTATTTAGGTGTCATCAATTGTCACTAAAGTACCGATTTTGAGTGAAATCAGTTGAGTTTTGTACAGTGGTGTTTGAAATGTTGAGAATCAAAAGCACAGCTTTTACTACACAGCCAGGATAGTGATGCTCCTATGTGTGGGTGTAACGCGGAATCCGTTTTTCGCATTGCCAGTGCACGGATCGGGAACCTGAAACTCGCAGAGCGCCAAAGAAGAAAAATGTCTGTGAAAATGAGGACGATCATTTTTTTCAGGACGCATTTTGTCCACGTTTACAAGTATATCCTCATTTATGCAGACAATCCCCATTCGTGGAACAGAGCCCCTACTGATAAGCAAGCCAACTAATAATTATAGAGAGGAAAGAGATTAGATACAGTTTACATGAATCTTGTAGATGAAAATTTGTGTTGCAGTATTCAGTTCATCACATATTTGAGAAGGGAGTTGGGTAGCAGTGTGGCTTTTGTGAATGCTTCACCCTTGGTTGTGTCGTAGAGGGAGAAGATCTCTTCTGGCAGGTGTTTAGTCCTCAGCTTGTTATGGAAGTCTTGTCTGTGCGTCTGCAGATGTATACAAAGTGAACTGTGTCTTCCTCTTCATTAGCAGCATTAGCACTCCTACGGTACATGAGGACTAACCATACATGTAAATAGTATCGGCCTCATACATGCATTACCGCTAAAAAGTATACACTTTGCGCTAACATCCTGCATATATGTACATAACAAGTGGGAGCAAAAATAAAATTTATTGTTCTAACACTAACTTCTTAATGTGACGCTCAAAAATCATACTGTTACCATCAATAACCATTATCCATGATAAATCAGTTCCGTAATTTACAGCTCGAAATGATAATAGAAAAACCGAAGAAACCGCCGCTAATTTTCCTCGTCGCATCCTGTTTTGCTCGCATTTGTGAATCGTTGAGTTTCAGACCAAAACAATATCGACTGCCATAAACTTGGTCCCTACGGTCCGGTTTTTTTCCCTGTGAAAATTAACAGGTTGATATATATGCGTGACATATAGACCAAATATGTGAACATTGAGTTTACACAGAGATTTAGGGTTCGTGGCGACCAACAAATGCACCCAATGAATACAAAGCGGCTTTTCGCCAGAATTGACAATATGTTTCTGATTTTATTTTCTAAAGTATTTTTTCAAGCATCAGTGCGTTTTTTTTCCTTCTCTTATCCTCAAGTGAGGTTTTCATGTCCATAATTTCAATACATGTATATCTACATTAATAACTCAATGATTGAGTGAACATAACTTATTCAACAATTCTTCCAGCTTAGTATTATTTTCTTCGCTAACACATCAGTGAGTTGAATTGATTGTATGTAACTGCTATTTAGGTGTCATCAACTGTCACTAAAGTGCCAAATTTGAGTGAATTCTGGTGACAGTGGTGAGTTTTGTCGTGTTTGAAATTTTTTGTGAATCAATAGAGGGTGTTTTTAAATGTTTTTTCTACACACAAAGCATACTTATAACTGGAATTGATGGATATCTTTTTACTAAATAAAGGATGCAACAAAAACGGTAGGTCTTCTAGCAGTCATTTTACTTTGGTTATGTTTTTCCCATTTAGCTACCATTAGAGGAAGCAGGCAGCTTTTCTCAGCAGTTATCTCTGGTCTCCACTCCAAGCCTCTCTCACAGCGGAGATTCTCTGGCTGAGGGCTTCTCTTCACTTGGCATGAAGGATGACAAAATTGAGAATGCACAACAGGTATGGGGGGATCGTAGATGTGTCTTTTTTTGTTTGTCTGTCTCTCCTCAGTCTTTTGTATTATTAAAATATTTTTGTATTCTTTCTGTTCTGTCTCTCTCATCAATTTTCTTTCCACTGATTGTTTCACTGTTGTCCCTTTAATTTTGAATATTATTTTCTTCTAAGACCACCCCCCCCCCTCCCCCCAGGCTAGATAGGGTTAAACTGTTTAGCTGTCATTTATTGTTCTTTAATTCCCTACTGGTTTGTTTTGTTTGAAAAAATAGGTGGCAAGGCTTCCATTCTTATTCTTTCCTTTTTCTAAATTTTGAAAATTATTTTCTTGAAACCCTTGATTTCTGATGTAGATGTTTCTGTATCATCTTCCCATCTTAAACTGTTTAGCCATCATTTGTTGTTTTTCATTCCCCTATTGGTTTATTTTGTTTGAAAAAATAGGTGGCAAGGCTTCCATTCCTATTCTTTCCTTTTTCTTTATAATCGCAAAGATTACCTTCCTGATATATGATTATAAAACCTAATGAAAAAAACAAATTCACAAACTTAATAGTCGAAGTACTACATGTAGCAATATTTTTATGAAGGGCTAAATAAGATAAATGTTGGGACAGTGAGCAGGCTGCTTTCCGCAGCTAAGTTGTTCTCAGCTTCATTCTATTGTCTTGTTAAAGATTACCGTTTTCATCCTTCGGCCTTTTCAATGGATGCAGTTAGTTGCATCTGACACTAATTCTTTCTTTGCATGAAAAATTATATAGTTCTTTGACTGGTTCAATAAAGTGGAGAGTCAGATGGAGCAGGAAGAAGAGTTGTGCTACAGGTTAGTATTGCTTCTCTCTCTTTATTTTATCAAAGTCACATTTTCATTCTTACCGATAGGTCAGTTTGTGATCAAATATTTGTTTGTTTGGTTTTATTTCTGCGTTAATTTTTTTTTTTAATCCAAAAATTAGAACAATAACAAATACAATGAATACAATTTTTAAAAAAGTAATTAAATAGAAATTCATGTACAATAATATTATACAAGCATACAAATAAGATAAGAAATATATCGTAAATATTTAGCATGCAAGAGACCGCCGTCATGAGCGGATAGGCTGGAGATGGATGGCTGGCCTCATAAAATTACGTTTCATTGTGAAAATTTAGTGAAGTTGGCGAAGTGTGGGATTTTCAATTTAGTTATCGCCTCTGAATCCTGAACCGTGGGTTCCAAAGGTTGAAGGAGTTTACAAAACTATTGTTTGCTAAGTTTTGCCCTGAATTTATGAGAGAAAGATTGATGGTCTTCTTGCTATATCACTACTGGCATATTGTTAAGCGATACATTTGTATTTATATAATGCTCTTATACCTGTACAATTAGAAGAATTATCCCTAATATTGTTATTGTCTTTGATTATCCTATAGGTCTTACTGTGATCAGCTGAGTCAGTATAAAGAACAATGTGATCTTGTGATGGAGGAGGTCTCAACAGCATTAGATCAGCTCAAAGACCTCAAACAGCAGTACGTTCTGGTTGCCACAAAGACCAATGCTCTACATGAAGCTTGTGAACAGTCAATGGCAGACCAGGTAAGAGACACACAAATATCTACTCAAGATAATTGCTAACAGATTTTGAAATAAATAAATAAATAAGCAAATATTCAAAGCAGCAGTATGTCCTGTGCATCGTTTCACAAAACCATCATAAATACAAGTTCACAGACATCCTATTGAAACATGTGTTAAATTTAATACATGCATTTCAATGGGTTGTTGGCAAGCTTGTAATTCTGACGGAAGGAGATATTGTTCACATGTAGTTGCGAACATTCAGTGAGAGTTTGTTTGATTGTTTAGAATTTATATGTAGTATCAATTATTACCAGTTCTTTTTTTCAAGATTATCATTAATTAGATTTCAAACAAAAACTATGTATGCCTTGTTGATATTTTTGCATTTCTAGATGATCCATTTTTTTAAGTGATATGTTTTTTGAGCTTTCACTCTGGACCCCTTTACATCTTCCATGTAGTTTGACCAGCTCCATTAAAAAATATAAAATTGTTTCTCTCTGGTTGTGAACATATGGAGGTATTACTTCCACCAGACATACACCGTATTCTTTAATGAACGAGAATTTACTTCTTGAGTTTTCTTGAAATATATCTCTTTTTCACCCTCCACCAGACAATGTTAGTGAACAAGGCTGAAGCCATCAGCTGTAAGCTCGACTACTTCAATGAACTAGAAAGGATAAATCAGGTGAGATTTTAAGAATGGATTTATGACAATGTTACCATAATCAATTAGATGGGCAAGATGCATGGATATAAGTTTTCATAATTATTAGACCTTATTATTTCTTTGAGTTGTGTCTGAGTTTAACACCCAATTCAGCAAAATATGAACAGGGTGTAATGTTTGATAACAATATTGTAATACATAATTGATGTTCATCAGCTGAGACCCTGACTATTTTAAGAGAGAATATTCATTTTATTTTATTCAACCGTACTTTGACAGTTAGATTATCATAAAGGATGGGATGGGTACCTGGCAGGAATTAATTCCTTGGCATGCTAGAGCGCCATGATGGCAGCCGTGCTAAAGCCGGGGTAATATTTGTGGAGCGCCAGGAGTGTCAAGTCTGACAGACATGAGGGCTATACAAGAACCCATTGTTATTATTATTATAATTGCATACAGTATGTGAATTATTACTTGGACCATGATTGTGGGAAATACACTTTGGCAATGATGTGTGTAGTTTTCATTACAATCATATTTCCCCTTTTATTTTTGTTATAAGAAGTCCTTCACACGTTGTATTGTTTGCAAAAAGCATTATCAAAGATGTTGTTATTGACTTGTTTTTATAGAAACTGAGCTCGCCGACATTTGCAGTCACCAATGACTCGTTTGTCCCTCTCCTGTCCAAGTTGGATGAATGTATTGCTTATATCATCGGCAATGTGAGTATATGTCAATGTGTATGTATAGTGGGAGTGTTGTGGCCGAGTGGTTTAAGGCGCTTGACTGGAGATGCAAAGGTCAAGGGTTCGAATCCTGACACGGCACTAATGTCCTTTGGCAAGATATTAACCTGCACTTGCTACTCTCCACCCAGGGGTAAAATGGGTACCCGGTAGGATACATTCTGTGTGGGCAAGCCTGAATCCGATGACCGTGGTAATAATATATCTGTAAAGCACGAGACATTCAGTTAAGCGCTATATAAAAGCAGAATATTGTTATTTATTATTATTATAGTCTTATATTGGAATCCATCTCATGTCATATTTTACATTTGATTCAGGTTAATAATGTCTTTTAGGCAACATTTTTCGCAGTCCCTAATAAGCTGACTGGCACACAAATGTAAATACAAGAGTAATATTCAAAATTCACGTTACACAGGAATAAAACTTGGTAAATATGTTGTTGATGTCTTTCTTCATTTTCAAAATTTATTTTGGAGATGTTTTGTGCAGTTGTTAGTTTTGCTATGATCTTAGTGGTTCTACTGTGTCCGTTGAATTTAATTGACAAAATTGTCATTTTAGATCAGTTTTGCAATGTGAACATGACCATATGGCGTGAACAAAACAATTACTCATAATTTGAAAGAATAATATGTGCTGTAAAAGTGAAATATTTACATGTGTATATACATGTAATTCCTATTCAGCCCCAGTACAAGGAGTCTGAGCTGTTCCAGGCCAGGTTTAAGCAATGTTTGAGTAAAGCATTAACTCTTATCAAGGCTGCAGTCTTCACTATTCTCAATGGAGCTACACAACAGGTGGTCCCAAAGGTATGTATATACGTGTACATGTATGTATGTATCGATTGATTGATTGATTGATTTGTTGATTGATTGATTTGATTAGTTGACGATGTGATGGGACTTGGCCTCAACCCATTATGACATTTACATTGTGCATCTAACCTTTATTCACAAATTATGTGAAAACAAATGGAAACAAAATCATGAAATAATTTCTGAGTGAAATATTCATTTTGGAAATGAAATAGATAGATGGTTATGGCCAGTTTCATGTTCACTTTGAATATCTTAATTGCTCTGCAACATTGAATCACCTTACATCATTGTGTTATGACCTATATTATCATTAATGAATTTTTCATGAAGTATGTTTCATGTCTCATTCTTGTTTTCAGGATGTGACTAGTACATCAGAGAATGCATTTACTCTGTTCTATGGAAAGTTCAGAAGCAATGCTCCTAAGATCAAAGCCTTGATGGAACAGGTAGAACAAAGGCTAGACAAAACATCTGAGTAAGTATGATTGATAATTAGCTGATAGTTTGATTGATTGAATGATTGATTGTATAGATGGCATGAACTACATATTTGTCACAATTGTCAAATCACAATTTGTCTGTTGATTTGTTACATGTAATATGACAAGGTATTAAAGATGTATTCATGATGATCAACTGATATAACAGAACCGAATCCTTTGAATCATGTACATGTAATTTGATACTGCTCCTTGTAAGGCTCCAGTAGTATTAAAAACTCATTACAAATCGGAACCAAATGTTTCTTTGTTTTAAATCTTTGTGGGAATGACAGAATGTAGGAGCCAATTAGTCAAACTGCATCTTCGACAGAGTGCAGTTTCCAAGGTCTTCTAGTACTCACATCCCATTGTCTTGGATTGGGTGACAGTCATACTATGTTTATTGTGTTGGCTCAGTCAGTCCGCCTCACAACCGGGAGGTCGTGGGTTCGAACCTTGACCGCGTTGTACCAAAAGATGTTAAAAGACGGGAGTTTGGGTTCAACAATAAGGGATAAGGGCGCTGCTCAGTGGCTGCCGGGCTCACGATCAATTGGGCAAACAGAATTTCCATTTTCGGTTTAACTTAATAAAATTTGGATTGGACTTTAAAAGATTGTTATTATAATTATTGTTATTATTATTATTATTGTTGTTGTTGTTGTTGTTATTATTATTAAATGTATCTTTTCCTGCAGGTACACAACCTTACTGGATGACTGCTTACACTGTTACTTCAGTAAGAGATATCAGCTCTTGATGCCTAGCATACAGATGGCTGTATCAGAGCTTGCTACCAAGCATGCCAGGGATCACTGCTCTCTTGTAAGTAATCAGACAAATTTTACATTAAGACATTAATCCATATTTGCCACTCGCCACCAAGGTGGAAATGAGTACCCATTGTGCCAGAATGCTACATATTTGGCCCGCTCGGGTAATAATGTTACAGCGCCAAGACCTTTGCAGCACTATGAGCACTATACAAGAAGCCCCCATCATCATTATCATTATTATTACATGACTACTTGCTTGTGATTCCTTAAATTCTTCATATCAAATATACAGGATCATCTTACAGTATAAGCTGATCACACCAAATTCTATTTTAAGAAGAAAATGTCATTTTTATAATAATAATATGGATATTTATATAGCGCCGGTTTCCGCCAGGCTCTGACGCTCATAGTGCTGTACATATTACTATCACAAATATATAACTTTCTTAACTAAAATAAAGTAAACTAAAACAACACAAATTATTACGCTACATTGACATAATTAAATAGCACTGTTTAGAAAGAGATGGGTTTTTGGAGCAACTTTGAAGTCATGGAGAGCAGTTTAGTTACGAATACTAAGTGGCAGCTTATTCCAAAGGGACGGACCAGAATGAGAAAAGGCTCTATCCCCCCAGGAACTGCACATCTTAGGGACAACTAGTAAGGAGGATTGAGATGAACGAAGATGTCTTGTAGGCTTATACTTAACAATCAACTTGATATTGTAGGAAGGAGCAGAGTCATACAAGGAATGGAAAACTAGCAACAACATTTTAAAAATGATTCAGTCACATACCGGGAGCCAGTGAACAGTTTTGAGAATGGGGGTGGTGTGCGTTCTACGAGAAGAAAGTGTGACAATACGTGCAGCAGTATTATGTCATTAATTTGCATTAATATTTAAGTTCATTATCATGACATTTACAAATTGGCAACACAGTGATATACACATCTATGTGAAACATACTGTACAAAGGATGTGGATACAGTCTGTAGAATGTCGAACAGGGAGGTTTTTTTAAAACCTTGAATAATACGTCTTGTATGAAATGTCCAGTCTGTTTGTGCATTGTATTTTGTGAGAAATCTTTGTAACTTAGATGCTTGAAGATGTCGCTAATGATTAACTGTTAACCTTTGACCTTTATCAGGTTCGGAGTGGTTGCGCTTTCATGGTGCATGTCTGTGAGGATGAGTATCAACTCTTCTTTCATTTCTTCTCAAAGTCATCAGAAAAACTGGAGTAAGTATTCGTACAGTTTTCACCTTTTCTACTTTATCTGTATAATTCATAATAGCATGCGTTATAGAGAATGTCCCAAACTTATCATATCATCTGGGCAGGGCAAGAAGGGTGTCACTCTCTGTTGAAGTTTATGAGTTAACACCCTTCTGGCTCCAAACAGATGATATGCAAGTAACTCAGTTAAAGTATATATATATATATATATATATATATATATATATATATATATGTGGTAACAATTTTCATGTTCATCTCCACTCCTATCAATTGACAAGATGCAACAAGCCTTATTAATATAAATAAAATTTACTTGTCACCCGGTATAATAGTCAATTTGGAACCTAAAAAGATTTGTGTAAACACATACATGAACCTCTGTACAGTACTTTTGAAATGAATGTTTTTATAGGGAGTGTAGACTTCAATATAAATATGTGATATGAATCAGATAAGCAGGATAATGATCTGAAAAGTGCAAATATCAGTACACCAGAAACTGTTACTATGATATTAATTCATGTTTGTTTGTCGTAGTGCGATGTTGGAGCAGCTTTGTATGAGTCTGTACGATGTCCTACGTCCTCTCATCATCCATATCAACCACCTTGAAACCCTGGCTGAACTCTGCAGTATCCTCAAAACAGAGATGCTTCAAGATCATGTACAAGCCAATCGTAAGTGGAGGAAATAATCTCTTTGAAATTTGCATGCTGCTTCCATCGTCAGAATGTTTACACTACAGTAATGATTATTATAAATTTAACTTTTTATTTTACTCATCTCTACAAAATATTGTAAACAAATTCTCCTGAACTTGTCCATTTCAAATATAAAGTAAGCTTGAATAATCCACATTTAAAAGCATCATAAAGAAATGTCCATGAACAAATTATGATAAGGAGCATGTTAGCTTGAAGCCAACCTGATAACCTGATATCGTTTTCATAAAATGAATAAACTAGGTGCATTTGCTTTTACAGTAGCAATCTTTCTTTATATTATTTTGTTTGCTGTCCAGGCGGCAATTACTACTGGAGTGTGGCTAATAAACTTGATGAAAATAAAATTAAATAGATAATAAATAATTGTGTACAGCATCCGGTAAATAACTGAGGTGCCATTGTTGTAATGTTTATTAATGTTTATCATATTTCTTTTCAAGCAGTCAATTTCAGAAATAAAGCTTCATGTAATGCACTTCATTTTGTTTTTAATGAAGGAGATGCCCTACTCTTTATTGATATTACCGGTACTTTACTTTCTTTTCTCGAAATATATACTGAAAGTAAAGCTGACGATCATGACTTTGTTTTCCATCCAACAAGTGAAGTAGGTGCCTTAGGTTTAGAAACCTTCATGATTTTTTATCTTTCTATTTGGGCAGTCCTTGCTGAAGTAAAGCTACATGATGTAATGACTGTGATATTGTTTTCCATCCAGCGAATGAACTGGGTGCCTTTGCTGCCGTTGCCAATCAGATGCTAGAGGATGTCCAGGAGCGGTTGGTATACAGGTCAAGTGTTTACATCAAATCTGATATCCTCAACTACAACCCAGCTTCAGGAGACCTTGCATACCCGGAGAAACTAGAAATGATGGAGGTAGGACGATTGTGCTTGTTGTGCTTGTTATTGTTGTTGTTGATCATATAGTTGTAGTCGTTGTCGTTGGTTATGTAGTTGTCCATGTTGATAACATTGTATTTGTTGTTGATAACTTTGTGGTCTAACCACCTCTAGACCACTCCACATAAACTCTCCCTCAGCCTGAAGGAATCCCTTACATCCGGCTCCAGCGAGACTTGGCCTACCTGGCTAAGCCTCAACCGCCTAAGAACTGGCTACGGACAATGCAGAGTCCTGATGGAGGTCTAGGAGACGAACAAACGGCATGTGAATGCGGCCAGGAACAGACAATGGAACACCTGCTAGTCTCCCCACTCCTTCTAGTGCCATGCATCCAAGATGACCTGGAAGCCATGAACTGCCGTGCCAGAGCCTGTGTGGAGCACTGGACGGGACCTGTTTAGTGACTTGATAAGAAGAAGCGTTTTATTGTCACAACAAACTTAATTTGTAACTTTTTATTGTTGTTTGCACAGGTAGCAATGAGATATTTTTTTTTTTTGTCCAAGAATATTAGATACAGTGTCAACCTTTGGGTGGTTGAAAATGACTATGACAATGTAAAGGGTTTTTATGAATCTAGTGACTAGAGTTTATCATAATATTGTGAGATGCATTGATCAAGTGTAAATATGAATAGCCCTCGATGAGAACCAACAAATATATATTAGCTAGTATCAAACAAGTTGCATTACTATTGTTATATTCTTATTATCATCATTAATATTATTATGAAACACAGAGCATAGCAGAGAGCCTGCGAGAGCAAAGGCTAAATGATTCACGGAGGAACTCTGGTGATTCGATTGGATCAGCGACAAGTCATGAGGTAGCGGCTCTCAACCAATCAGGATCAGCATTGATGAGCGGTCAGACCACGCCCCCTGAGGGTATGAGGTCAACGGTCATGGCACCTATAGGTAAGCAGGGTCTTCAGTTAAACTACTTTTACTCTAGGCATTGTTTAATCAAATAAATTTGAACTTGGATTTACTTAAACAGGAATTAACCTCAAACAGCATGTTAATTTCAGTTTGTAGGCCACCTTAAACATCTGAAAAATATAAAACATCACACATTTGACGAAAGGGAAGATGCAACTCTCCTTCAAAATCCTTCGTCTTTCATGGCTCTGAGAATTTTCAGAACGTTAGCATTGTGTTTGCGCACGACCTGTTCTGTGACGTACCACATGGATTCAACTGCTATAGCGTACGTACGTGTCCCTGCTGTAAAAAACTGTAAAATGATCACTGCAGATCACACCGTTTTTCCTGTTGTGCTTGTACTTTTTGTCCAGAAATTTCTCCATCTTAAGAGCTGCTACGTATAGCTTGAATATTTTATTGTGATTGCGTTGGTCTGGAAACTGATGAAACAATTTCCCCTTGGTTTTTGAGGAACAATTGTTCCAACGACACACTTGGCAGTACACCATGTTTGACGTCTATTGCATATATAACGCACGCACTGCACGCTACATCAGTTTTCCTTGCGAAACGTCACAACCCAGGAATTTTTAAGAGAAATTTCAACAAAATGTCGTAAATATGGCGAAGGTCTTATGTTTATAAGTGCATCTATGTATTGCATTTTTTTTCCTCAATTGCTTTAAAACCTTAGCACTGTTTGTCCATCATCACCCTAGGTTCTGGTGCAGGCACTGCTACCATCCATGTCAATGCTTCCCTCTCTCCTGCTGACCTACATGGTATGTGGTATCCTACAGTCAGACGTACCTTGGTGTGCCTCTCCAAGCTCTACAGGTGTATAGACGTAAGTCCTTTAAACCTCATTCTGCTGTTCATCTTCAAAGGGCTCGGCAGCCTATCACCTCAATTTGTATGTAGATTACCAGTTGTGTCGGCAGGCACTCCGGACACGTGCAGAAGTGTAGTAGTCGAGTGGTTAAAGCACTTGACTTGAAATTCAAAGGTTGTGGGTTCGATCCCCGACACAGCGCTAATATCCTTTGGCAAGTCATTAATCTACATTTGCCACTCAATACCCAAGAGAGAAATGAGGACCCGGTAGGATGACAAAAGCATTTGTGTTAGTAATTGTCTATGGCCTCACAGTGACCGTATGGTAGGAATACTCCCCAGGGAGTGGAGATTGTGCACATTGTGTGTGAAGGAATTTGATGACCTGGGTGATAATATCTGTAAAGCGCACGGAGACGGTGTTCCGTATTAAGCGCTATATAAATCTATATTTATTATTATGACACTCTACTCTTTGCGAGAAGTGTAGCGTATTAACATGCATAGGGTTTGACTCTCCTACAAACAAGGTCTTCAGTTACCGTTCTGCCCTAAGAACAGAGTGTTTTCCCCTGAACCTTGAGGCTCCCTCAGTAATAGAGAGGAGGGGCACGCAACGCGATAACAAACTTTTTTTTTTTTTAAATTTTTTTCCTGCTCAGCGTGGGACTCAAACCCACGCGCAAGAAGGAAGTCAGGAGAGTCAGAAGACAATTCAATTGCACCTCTTTTTTGTTTCAATAGTATCAAGGAATGGTCAATGCAAATGTTGGGAAAAGTTAAGAACTGAGAATTTGTGAACATTGGAAATCTTAAAGCCACACTGTATTACGTGTAGCTACTTGCTCCCTCTATATAGAAAAAAAATGCCTAATAGGTGACCATTGGCCCCCCCCCCCCCCCATGCTCCTCTTTTTCGTATGTTAATTGAGAGCTGAGTTGATGAGATAACCACCTGTCCAGTGACCTTGCAGGGTGGTCTAGTCCCTCCTATAAACTAGTACAGATAAGCTTTAAAATGTATCAATCGCCAAAAGAAGTTTTGTTCTGTATGTTGGAGGTTCCATATGGCTATACATGTACCATATTCAAAGTATGAGCTTCGAATGTTACTTCTATAAGCAGAAAGAGCCAGTTTTAATTAACTGTCAACGAACTTAAAAGAACAATCTTGAGTTCTGGTATTTAACTTTTGTATTTTTCAACCACTTACATGTATGATGGCAAGCCAAATTTAAAGAACTAACAGATGATTGTGGGAAATCCCATAAAGAGAGGGGAAAATGCATGACACTCATGTGCATGTATGGGACTACATGTTTCTAGTGGATTTAGTAATTTATTTGGATTTTGTTTTCTCCTTCTCATAACTCATTTGGCAAACAGATACCTATTTTACAGTCTCAAGCAATCAGTTATAAGTCATTTGTTTCTGTGACATTTCATTTTCCATCATTACTTCCAGTAGAGCTAACCTTTAAATGATTTTGTGTATATATTTCTTTACAGAAATCTATCTTTCAAGGTTTATCACAAGAGATTCTGCAGTCCTGTATTCATTCTCTCAATGTGGCTTGTCAAGGCATCACAAAGAGAAAGGTATATAATCTATTTTCATTTTAATTGATTGAAATTCACATTTATCTCCTTCTGACAAAAATGCTATAACAGGTTTGACAATAGAAATTGAAAAAAAGGAGGTGAATAGCAGAAAAGTAGAGCTTGTGTTTGGATCTTTAGGAACTGTAAGAACATCATTAACAACATCATTATAAATAGATAGATAGCATTTTTCTGGGTCCTACAAAATGCTTGTATTTTAAAAACACATGGGTCCGACAGCTTGAGTCTTTATAAAGGGATTGGAGAATGAAGGATACATGCATTCCCCAAAGGCATTAGTCCAAAACTCGGTTTGAACCCTAGATTTCTTGGTTTTAAGGACTACACCACTGAGTTTTTAGTGTGTCTGCTTAGATAATCAAAGTATGTGAAAGGAAATAGCATACATTGCATGCTTTTCATGAAAGTTAAGGGTTCATTGCATGAAGTTATGATGATAATGAAGATCTTGAGTTCTTTTTTCAGTGGCTTTAGTCAAAGGCATTAGTCTACAATTTGGTTTGAACCCTAGATTTGTTGGTTTTAAGGACTACACCACTGAGTCTATAGTGTGTCTGCTTAGATAATCAAAGTATGTGAAAGGAAATAGCATACATTGCATGCTTTTTATGAAAGTTGAGGGTTCATTGCATGAAGTTATGATGATAATGAAGATCTTGAGTTCTTTTTTCAGTGGCTATTAGACCGTAAACTGATGATAAATCCTGTATCCGGACACCTACCCCCTGGACATCCACCCCCCGGATAACCACCCCCTGTCAACTACACCCTAGGGCATCTACCTCCGGACAACTACCCCCCAGACAACTACCCCCTACGACAACTGTCCAGGGGGTAGTTGTCCTAGAGGATGGTTGCCGTAGGGGGTAGTTTTCTAGGGGTAGTTGTCCAGGGGGTAGTTGTCCTAGGGGGTAGTTGTCCGGGGGGTAATTGCTCAGGGGGTAGTTGTCCTAGGGGTTAGTTGTCCGGGGGGTAGTTGTCCTAGGTGGTAGTTCTGTATACATTTGTAAGTACAGCAATGTGAAGGGTAGTACTCTTTTACACTGTATGTATTCCAAACAAACCCACTGCAGTTTGTTGTGTCATATCTGAGTGAGGCCTTATGATTGTCTTCCAAGCCCCTGTTCATCACTTGAGTGGTGACCCTTTCTTGTTTGTATCACAGACCCAACTCAATGGGCAGCTCTTCCTGATCAAGCATCTACTCATTCTCAGAGAGCAGATCGCACCATTCCAGGTGGAATTCTCCATCAAAGAGACTGGATTAGATTTCAGTACATTGAAAGGTGAGGCAGTGCAATTCTTACATGCATGATGAAACGTTTCTATGTTGAATAGCATATACGTGTATCATTAATCTACAATTGCCACTCTCCAACCAGATTTTAAATGGGTACCCGGTAGGATGCGAAAGTTAATGTGGTTGGATGAGCAAGTGGCGCTTGTAAAATGGCGACTGGCTGGAATGCTCCCCAGGGAGTGAAAAGTGTGCATACATTGTGTTGCGGGTAAGCCTGAATCTGATGACCGGGGTAATGATATGTCAGTACTGTGCCTAGAAACAAAGTATTAGGCGCAAATGTGAACTACTGTTATTATTATTATATATTGGATCATGTACTACGGCTACAAAATTGGGCAGCCCGATTGATATTTCAGCTTTCTAGGGACCATCCATCTCAGCCACTCTCAAGATCATTACACTGTCTTCCTTTGAAACAAAGAATAACTTTGAAATTAGTCTTGTTTGTCTACAAAATATTCAATTACCAAGCTCCACATTATTTAGATACCTGTTTGAATTTATATATGGCTTCCAGGGTATTGAAGTAAGCCAGTGATCCTCTTCGTCTCACATATTCAGTTACTCGCCCATTAGCAGGTGTTAGGACATTTACTGTATCTGCTTCAAAATACTGGAATGATCTACCACTTAGAATTAGTTGTTACCTTTAGAAAGGCCTTGAAAACACATCTTTTATGCAGTTTGTAGTTGTAAGATTGTTTTTATTATTACATGTATTTTTTTAATTGTCATTAACTGTAAGCGCTTTGGGCCTTTTGGGAAAAGCGTGGTATACTAATGATAATAATAATACTAATAATGATATATGTCGAAAGACAATGCCTCCACATGTATGTCCTTATCGTGAATACTTGAGCACCCTCATATAAAAGGGACCAATTGTCAACAACAACAAAGTTATTGCTGTATGTGTGGGGTTCCATGCCTGTATACCATATTCATGGAGATCTGCTTCAAAAACTACTCCTGTTTGTAAGTGACGTGTGAATAGCATGATTGTTATGCCCCTGTATATTATCCTATTTGAAAACAAACATGCATACATTGTACTTATTCAATCTGTATTCACTATGGATCCAAACTCTGGGCTGCCACAATGTATTAGGTATAGAGTATAGGTACACTGTACAGGTGTCACAAGTTGACAGTGAAAGTTCCCTCTTTGTTCCACCGGACGACTAAAGAAGCTGTACAGAGTGAAATGTGGGGCAATTTCTTTAATGCCTGCAATTTTTTTAAATTTTACTTTATTTTTCAGCTGCTGCATATGGTATGTTCCAGAAACCGAGAGGTCTGTTTGTCCTTAGTAGCAACAATTCCTTCCTGGAGTTCCTCTTTGAGGTAAGTCTTGAGAACCCCTAGACTAATGACAACCCATTGAAATGTGTGTTAATTCTATAACACACGTTTCAATGGGATGTCTAAGAAGTTAGACTTCTGTCTGTTTCGAGAAACGGCCCCCAGGGCACCGATAGATTTTACTTTTTGTTGTATCAACTGCATATTTCCTTGCTAACACTAACCTCTTTCAAGCATCAGCATTCGATTTTTTTTTTTTTTATTTTTTTTTTTTTAATTATTCTGTACATCTAGTGAGCAAGTGTTTTGGGGAACTTATTACCTGTGGGCTACGCCATTTGGTGCTTGATCTTACTGAACAAACTTCTTGATTGTTCTTTCTTCCTTCAGGGTGCACCTCAGGTGACGGAGCACTATGTGGATTCCAAGAAAGATGTAGATCACCAGCTGAAATGTACTTGTGAGGTATTCATCAAACATGTCACCGACCTCCTGGCTTCAGAGCTCATCGCATTCCAGAAGAAGGTAAAATGATATTACATTCATTTAAAGCCCCACTGTACTACTTGTAGCTACTTGCTCCCTCTATATAGAAAACAATGGCTAACCTGTGATCATTGGTCCCCCATGATCCTCTTTTTCTTATGTTAATTGAGAGCTGAGTTGATGAGATAGCCACCTGTCAGTGACCACCCTGGGTGGTCTAATCCCTCCTATCCAAACTAGTACAGACGGCCCTTAATGTCTGATATGGAGATTATTTTATGATGTAGCATGCCGTAAATCATTTGAGATAAGTGGCTAATTCTTTCGGCCTATTTTTTAAGTGTCATGAAAAGGATAGGAATTTTAATTATGTAATTCTTGATCAATTTGGAATAATAAGCAATTGGAGAGCTATTCAGAACTTTCAATAGAAAAATAAGCATTTAAGTATCCAGTAAAAATACAAAGTCATTATGTTTTGGCAAGGTTTTGCTACAAGATGTAATGTCTTGTTCATTTACAGGTACTTGTATATCAATATCTTATATCTCGTGTCTGATACATCAAAAAACTATAATCGTGAATGAAAATGATCACTTTTTGAAATGTCACTTGAAAAGTATGTATATTCAGCATGATGTCATGAAAACCCTATTTATCAAGGTTCACATTTAAGAATAAGAATGAGAATTTATGTTCATACTCCTTTGTATCTTCACCTGTGGGCAATTACTTCTTTCTTAGGCTCAAGTGATCGTTGATCTTAATGAAGAGGAGAGTGGAGCTAGCGTGTCCCTTCGAAGTCAGCCATTTGCAAGTCCAGGTGAGAATGATAATAATAATCTTGATTTATATAGCGTTTAATACCAAATATAGTCTCTAAGCGCTTTACAGATATTATTACCCCGGTCATCGGATTCATTTTACGCACAATGTGCACCATCTCCACTCCCTGAGGAGTATTCCTACCATATGGTCACCGTGAGGGAGTAGGCAATTACTAACACAATGCTTTGGTCATCCTACCGGGTCCCCATTTCTCTCTGGGTTTTGAGTGGCAAATGTAGATTAATGCCTTGCCAAAGGACATTAGTGCTGTGTCAGGAATCTAACCATGACCTTTTAATTTCAAGTCAAGAGCTTAAACCACTCGACTACAACACTGTTTAGGGTTTACATATCATCTGTGTAGTCTTGATGATCTCGTCTGTAGTTAATAGACTTCAGGGGTCTGTTTTTCTCCCATTCTTAATTGTGAATTAAAATAACACAAAATATGGTAGATATGAACTATACAGACACTTAACCATATGCATGTGAAGTCATTTGGTTTGTGCATGCCGATAATCCACCCTGTAGTGCTTTATTGATTCTAATTTGTTTATTAATAAACTTGATCTGGATCCAAGTGAAATGTGTTGTGGGAAAAGTTGTTGAAAGATAATTCTGTATTGACTCATTAAAGACTCATTATTGATTGATAAATTGAAAATTAAGCATAGGTTTTAGATTATAGTACAGTTGCATGTACAATAGGATCTACAAAAATACACCTTTTCAGAGTAATCCTTTTTTGTAGTTTGAAAGTTAAATGTGCTCCCACTCGGAACCTAGTTGAAAGACACAATCCAAGTAGTAGTATTGTATCCTTTTCCCAGAACTACAATAATGAAGTATTCTCTCATGATGTCCTGTTTGTATTTCAGAGCGTGTTCATGAGGTTGTAGGGGCGTCTTACAAGCAGATCAAGACTCAATTACCCAAGGTCTTTCAAAGTATGTCTCTATATTTGGCGAATAAAGATACAGAGTATATTCTCTTCAGACCTATCAAAGTAAGTATGATCACCATCATCATCATCATTATCACAACTATCATTATCATCATCAAAACCATCGTCGTCATCATCATTATCACCATCATCATCGTCGTCATTTTCATCACCACCAATATTGCCATAACCATCATTATCATGTCACCACCATCAATATAATTATCATCAACACCATCATCGTCATCATCGTCATCATCATCATTGTAATCATCATTATCATTATGATCATCATCAAAATCATCATAATTTTTATCATTTTCATTATTATTGCCATCATTATCATCACAACTGCTACTTTCATCGTCATCACCACCACCATCATCATCGTCATCTCCAGTATTATCATTATCATCATCATCATCACTTACGTCCTTACTTTGAGGATCACTGTGATCGTGATCATCATCATCATCACTTGCGTCTTTACTTTGATGATCACTGTGATCGTGATCGTGATCGTGATCGTGATCATCATCATCATCATGTTATCCCTTTATCTACTCTCATCATGTTTTAGTTCAAGTTATTGTTAAGTTAATGGAAGCCTTATTGCCATTGTTATTATTTCAGTGTATGAAATGACCTTACAAAGGATTCTTTCATCAGTGATCAGCACATGCCATTTAATACCGTTGTTCCTTTTTCTTCTTGCTAGGCTGGGGTGCAGCTTGCCTACCAGCAGGTGGAGGAGCTGGTGAAAAACAACTACTCAGAAGAAGATCAACAGATCATAGCATGTCCATCTAAAGAACAGGTGAGTGAGAAATGATTCCATTCTCGTTATGATAATCTTATAATACATACAAGGCTACAACACAACATTAATTTAGGTTTTTGATGCATTAGGAGTGAGAAAGAGAAGACTAAGAAGGAGCAATGAGCAAAAGGAGAGAAGGGAGGGAGTAGACAAAGAAGAAAGAGGAAAAAGATAGAAGAGAGAGGATATAAAGAAGAAAAAAGAGGGAAGCATAATAAGAGCGAGAAGGAGAAGAAGGTGAAGGAAATTGAGTTAAAAAAAATAGAAGAAAGAGACAGAGAGAGGGGGGGATAGAAAGAGAAAATAGGAAGAAAAAAAGAAGATAAAATCCAAGGTTAAACAGAAATTGTAATGTAAGTGAAGAAGGAAAATGAAGGATAATGAAAGGCAACACGAAGATTCAAAAAACAAAGTAGGACAAGAAAAAAGTGAGAGTAAAGAAAAAAGAATGTCAGTTATAGTTTGTAAAGGAGAAGGAAGATGGTATCACACTTGTACAAGCATTGCTTTTTAGTGGACCCCTCTGTTTCCAACATGTATTTCTTAAATATATTTTAAATGCTTATAATTGATTTGTAATGTTTTTGTTGGAAACATGAATAAATTTGAATCTTGAATCTTGAATCTAAGTTAATTATATTCCTAGTCATCAAATTATCAGGGGATACCCCATCCTCTGTCCTTGCTGTTGATTGATTGATAACTAAAAGTAACCTAGCCATCAGCTCTATGATGCAGTTATTGTCTCTGATAAAGACATAAGTTAATGATTAATCTCATTTAGCGATCTTATTCCTTGAAAGCACTCTCATAAAATGACCAACGTAGGCCTTCTCTCTTTTATGACCGGGCTGTGTCAATAAATTGCTTATATCATTACATTGATTAATAGTGGACTAGCAAGGTGTTTTTGGTATGTGGAATGAATTCTTGACCAGTTGTAAAAAGGTCCAGCTTCTGTTTTATGAGCTAATTGACTATTCCTGTGCTCTTCACACCAGAAATTTAATTCTAAAGTGCTTGTTTTATGTCTTATGTTTGTTAGTCGGATATAATTATTTTTTTATGATGCACAGTATATCCTAAACTTGCGAGTTCAATTTTTGATTACAATGTAATTTAAAGTTTATTTGTTTGTTTTCTACTATATACATTCATGGTGATATTCTTTTATATATCAAGAGAAGAGTAAATAACGATACTTTTGTCATCAGAAAATTTATGAATCAAACATGTAGTCATAAAGAGGCTTTTGATCATGTTTTCAGATTTCTTGTACAAGTTTGGTAAATTATAGGCACTTTGTGCTGATTATGATGTCACATTATATTTTATATGTGAAATGGGCCTTGTGACTTTAGGCTGGAGTGTATATCAATTAGTGTGCATTATACACTGTAGCCTTCCCACACCCCATTGTCCACTTGTACACATATGTCATTAACTGCAGTCAGTTTCTAGTTCCGTAGGGAGAGCTTTAGTGGAAGGTGAATTTGGGAGACTCTACAGGGGTATATCAGGATAATTGTGAGAAACAGAGTAACATTGATGAGGCATTGTGATATTATACAGATGCCTAAGCAGACAAGTCAAGAACTTCCCATTGATGTTGCCTTCATCACAGGTTCCAAAGGATTTCAGGAGGAACATTAATAATTTGAAAACTTATTAATTTTTAATTGGACATTTCTCTATGCAAATGCATGTAATGATCTAGTCACACAATGCAACCATACCTGCTCATGCATATGATGACATCATAGTGGATCTGCTGTTTTACATCCTATTTGAGGGACCAGATGCTGAGACTGAAGCTCTATTCACTTGGAGTCGTGACCTTTAGCTGACCTTTGATGAAGACTGTTATCTTGAATTTTTGTGGTTGTGTCACATCACTCAGTGACTTGCGGTATTTGCGTTGGAATTTCTCCGCATTGAAGATGGAGGCTATAATACTGGATTGATTATCATGGAATATACATGTACTTCATTGATTGCACCATCTTTCTTGGGAGGAATGTGAATGATGTCTTGCTCTCTTTAAAGAATTTTTTTTTTCTTGATCAGTACAAAAAGTGGTAATCACTGTATGTTCAGTTAGACTAAAGCAACTGTAGATAATAATGAGTTTCATCCAAGTACACTGTCTGATGGAATAGTTGCAATACCAGTATCCTGTGATTCAGAAAAGATTTGAATAATCCTTCTGTTGCCTGGAAACAAATGGACCACATCTGCTGTCACCTGCATCAGAAAAAAACATTGCTGCAAATCTTGGCATCAATGATGTACAGTATGAACAGAACAGCTCTCATCAAGATAAAAAGGCAACTATTTTTTGATGATTATTTGCTTTTCACAGTGCACGTTTAGCAGTCGGTTTAATTAATTCTGGGTAAAAATATAACAATATTGACGGATAACTTTTTAGCATGATGAGAACTTTGTGAATCCTTCTCCTATGATCCTGCTCTTGTGTTTCCAATTCGAGGATTGGCTCCTCTCCCGAGCTCTAGCTTGGATTACACCTCCACCAACGTCTCAAGCGGCGAAATAATAATTCTTCATAACAATGTCTGTTAGCACCAATGCATCGGTCCCACCTGTAATGGAGCCATGTATCTCAGATCTAGAAGCCACTGTGATCGCAGGCATCGTCTCGTTGCTAACGGCGATCATCTTCATCAGCAACATCACCGTCATTGTGGTCATCTTGCGGACCCAGGCCAAACACCACTCGGGCTACATCTACACATTAAGCCTAGCTGTAGCTGACATCTTTGTAGGATTCATGTGCATCGTTCATATTGGGATCTACTTTGCGGACGTTACATCAACAACATGGTGTCTGTGGGAAGTCTTCATGTTCATTTCATCTTGTAGCGCTAGTGTGTCAAGTATCATCTGTATCGCATTTGATCGTTACCTCGCTATCACCAAACCTATCCTTTATAATACCCGCATTCGAGACCATACTGGTTATGCAAAGACCACCGTGGCAGTTGTGTGGATTTTGTCGATAGTTTACGGCTCCTTGCCACTTCTTGGCTGGCGGACGTTTAACTTTGTTCCTTGCAGACATTGTTGGTTTGCAAATATCCTTCCCGCAAGCTTCGTCATCACACTCTTCATAACGCAATTCATCATCCCTGTCGTCATTCTTATGTTCTTCTATGGGAGCATGCTTCATGTGTCGCTGCGCCAGGCAAACCAGATCGCTGACCTCGCGGGTAGCTTCCACGCGTCCTCTCGGTGGGAGCCAAGGAAACGAGCAGTCATCACGCTCTCTCTCATCATGGGCTGTTTCTTTGTGACGTGGGGACCATTCTTTGCTACTCTCTTCACTCACATCATCACCAAGAACCAAACATTCAAGATCGTTATTCATTCCTACCTCTTCATCCTTGCAATAAGTAACTCTTGTCTCAACCCTCTGGTCTACGCTTACTGGAACAGAGAGTTCCGTAATATTTTCAGCAGGTGGTTTGTCCAAGAAGGAAGGAAGATACGACATTCCTTGACGAGTAGGAGGAAAACAATTACATTCATATCAGGGAATTATGGCAGTCGATCACAGACAACTTCTACACAGTAATCAATACATTGTTGAAAGCTGATGTTTATGTTCAATATTTTTCTCACTTTGGTGAGTGCAGTGATTAAAAGGCTAGTACAGTAGTTATATGTTTCAAAAGAAGAAGGCTTTATGTACCATTATAGATAATCACAGACTTTTCATTTCAAATATTGTTTAGTTAGATTGATGTGTAACATGTTTTATTAGGAGCATATCGTCGGCCTTATGCCAAAAGGGCCTTAACTGCTTTTGGCCATTCCGAGATAATCGCGTTTTAAGGTTTTGGCCTCTCTAATAATCAAAAGTTTGTGGTCGTTTTTTTGCTTTTGAAGCCAATTTCGATAAATGTGTTAAGTTATTAAGTTTTACATGAAATGTGTTAAATTTGTTATAAAATATTCAGAATTGTACATGCTATGTGCAAAAAACATGTTAGGGCCTTTTTGGCATAAGGCTTGAATGTAGCGTATGTTAGCGTATGTTATGCCAGAAGGGCCGTAACCTACTCGGCGTTATGCCAAAAGGGGCGTAACCTACGCGGCGTTATGCCAAAAGTGCCTTAACCTGCTGTTATCGTACGCGTAACTATGCGCGTAACTATGCGCGCGTACGCGCGCATAGTTAGCGCCCTTTTGGCATAAGGAAATTTTCTTGTTTCGCAACACCTTTGGTTTGCCAGAAAGGCCCTCCTAACGCAAATGGATCATCCGTGTAGGTTAAGGCCCTTTTGGCGTAAGGACAAAGATGAGATACGCGTTAAGGCCCTTTTGAAATTCATAATTATCTTCATAAATAAATCGAATTTCAACAAGTGAAGCACATCATTTTAAAGAGAATGATGAAATCTACAAGGTGATATTAATAACTCAATAACCCCCAAAATCGGGTTAAGGCCCTTTTGGCATAAGGCCGACGATATGAATTATGTCTCATTTCTAGATGTCAATGACATTTTGAGTGCAGATTGTTGTTTTTCCTCTCCAAGTTTCATAAAGATATGTATACCTTTACACTCTAATAACCTGTGCATCACTCAGTATATATGCTTGCACGAATCGTTTATGAAGAAGTACTGGATAAATAGATGCAAATTGTCCATGGAAGTGAGAGAGGCTTGTAATTGCATATTTTACAGATGTATATCGATCAGATCAGGGATGCATATTATAAAGAGTTATGATTAATCTTAAGTTAGATCAATACATGATGAGCCATAGACTTAAGCTTTGTTCCCCCCCCCCAAAAAAAAAAAATAATAATAATAAAAAATAAATAAAACGTGGTTTATTTCTAATTCGATACCAGTGATTTACAAATGTTGCTGAATTGACATGGTGTTCAGGTTTTTTTTTTCTGCCCCCCAAAAAGTTGTTGCTCTTTACGCCACTGGACTTGCACTTAATATTCACCTTAAGATTGATCAAAAGACTTTATAATACATGGCTTTGTTTATTTACGTCTTTGACGACGTGTAATGTCACCATCTAAAAACAGCAACTGGCGATCAAACCCTGGGTTGTGTAACTTGTAGACCTGAGAAAATCACCACTAGAAATTCTCACTTCTTTAATGATGATGATGATGATGATAATGATGATGATTATAATAATCTGTGCTTTTTACGTAACCTCTAATACCAGTTACACTGTAACTGACATAATATTTTGCCGGTCACTGGATTGTGTGATGATTCTTCTTCACATTACAGTGCACATTCTCCTCTCCCTGGGGAGCATTTTAGTCAGTTGCTTGTTTACAAATGCACACATGCTGATCCAACCACAGTGACAGGTACCCAGTTGCACACCTGCTGGGGGGTGTTTCACAAAGATCCCTTGTGGAACTGAACTCTAAGTAGGACTTAAACACTATGGAGAGCCATTTGTAGCCTTAAAATAAAACAAATTAAAAAGCAAAAATTCAAGTATTTTAGATTTCTTCATAATTTCCACATCAAGAACATGTAATCTCCTTGATGATAGAAAATATGAATGATTTGTGTCAACATGTTATGCCTTTTAAAATAACTTTTACAAAATATTTTCAAAGATGCTCACAGCTTTCAATAATTTTAAGATAAATTCAACTTTAATAGGTTCTTTGTGAAACACCCCCAGGGTGGGGAGCAGCAATGTAGAATAAAATGCCTTTCTCAGGGACATAATGTATTCATGTTCTTAATGATTTATATCTTGATAAAGGTGAATCTGTTTCTAGCTGCATCTCCCTGAGCCTCAAGACAGATCAAGACCAGCGTACCGACAGAATGAATATTTCCCATCTCGATGCCAGCCTCCTGCGGGTCCTAGCGAGACAGATCTTCAGTCTTCTCTAACTAGTGAAGCTCCTCATCCTGGACAATCAACTGATGGTTGTGTAAACCCATTTACTGCCCTAACCGAGTAGCTCATTTATTAAGTCTATCAGAGTTAGAGAAGTCAGTAGTCAACCAGTTAAGATTCATGTTCATGTACATCATCCATTGGTTAAGTGTTAATGGTTTTAAGTTTTGTAATCGCATGGAAATATTTCTCACAATCTTAAAATTTGGCTGTAGTTTATTGGGTAATAACTGTTTGTAACTGTGATATGAGAAGCTAGGAGAGAGAAAATATGCTAAAATAGACCAGGACCTCAAAGTAAGGTTTAGAAATACAAAATTCTTGCTCCTTGACAAACTAGTGCATTTCCTTATTATGTGGGGTACGGTACATGTACAGTATAATGGGCTAAGTGGGGGTACTATTTACCGATATTTTGGTGAATGTATCGAGAGCTGTTGTAATTGCAATACCCCCTTTCTATTTTGTTTGATTTGTGTTGTCAAATGTGCATTATTTGTTTTGTGTGTCACATATTAAGCACAGGTTGTCTGTTGAGAGCCAGAGGGGGGTTAACACTGTGTTATACAAACTAGGTATTATGGTAGTTAATGCTCTTCTGGCTCCAAACAGACGATATCTCATTATTATTCACATCCCTTATTTCCAAAGCCATGTTATTTTTCACTGAATCGCATTGAAAAACACCCCTTTAGGGGGCGTTTCACTAAACTTGTCACCAGTGACAAACGACAGTTTTTGTTATAAGCTACTGAAATCCTTGCTTGTGATTGACTATCAGCAGATTTGTCACTGATTTTGAGTAATTTGTCATTGAAAAAAGGATTTGTGAAACAGGTCTCTGATATGGTTAAGTTTTGAATGGAAGCATTGCAAGGTCTCGTCCATGTCCTTTCTTCTTACATACAGATATCATCTTGAGTAGGCATGGAGGTATTACTTTGAGCTTAGATATTATGACCAAACTCCTCATCCCTCCAATATTATTTTGCTTGTTCATAGAATATATGTATTTTCTTGATTTTATGGAAGATGGACATTTTAAAGTGTACAAATCACCTGAAAAGTACAGATTTGTGTACAGATGGAATGCTTAACATCAAACTCAATTTTTTTTTGTGGCAGTCTATATTTTGTAAAGGGAAATCCAACCCAAATAGACAACTACTCTAAAAGAAAGCAGAAAAATCAGAGAAACAAAATGATGAAATTTCAATTAAATCTGACAAATATAAGAAAGTAATGAATTTTTGAAAGTTGTAATCACTGTACGTCTGGGCCCTTCACATGGGCTGAAGCAGTAATGTCAATGTGATGTAGTGCCATACTTTTTCCCATCTGTTCCAACATATAAAATAACTAAAATTTAATTTTTTTTCAAAAGGAGGGTTTATTTCTTTAGAAGATCCATATTTATATGATATCTATAATATATCTTGAGTAGTGGCCCAAGGGAGAAGGAACATTCAAGAAAAACATAAATTAATTTTATTTTGTGTACACAGCAAATGGGAGTTATCCACGTCCTACATGTACGTCACAATCCACTGACCAAACTACCAATTTGAGATTCGCATAGACTTTAGTGATCTCATATTTCAAACGTTCATAACTTCCTTACTAGTGGTCTGATTCATTTCAAACTTTTGCCATTCTGTTTCTGTTATTTTTCTGCTTTCATATACATCAACTTATTACAAGGGTTGGTTGGATTACAAGGAATGTTAAGAAAGTACAGCATAGCATAAAATATAGTGCACAGAACCCAAGTCCCACTTGGATTGTGTGTGCTAACTATTCTATGCTAGCATATGTGTGTGCATCGACTAGTCTGCATCTCTACTCAAGGTTGTTTTATGCTTACTGAGAGTATAATTAAACTCCTATATCTTTATTTATGGTCAGAGGAACATCGTAAACATATACATGTTTACAGTATAGCGATATGGCAGCCTACATGATGTGTACCATGCTATAAAAAATAGAGATTAGTGATTACATGTACATGTATTTTGTAAAGGAAGGTTGGATTTCTAGGTAGATTAATGTATACCGTAATGTAAAGTATTTGAAACCATTCCAGGAATTCTTAAAATGAGGACTAATATCTGGCTGGTGAGACTGAAATCCAAGAGAAGAAGAGATGATTGGTACTAGAAGATCGCACTGAATCCACTCAATCAGAGTGAAGGGCAAATTGGCAAGAAGAGAGAGAAAGCTGAAATAGGCCGATATGAAATGTAAAGTAGCAAAATAAATAATATTTATAAAAAAATGATAAACTGTACCGTTTCAGCTCATTATTTATTGGCAGAAGACCAGAGTAGAGGTTGATTTTTTTTATATGCAACTTTGAATTTACTTTTTTTCAATTATTAGAATAGCTTTGTTGTCAGATAAATCTTTTGGAGGAGTAAGCATAAAGATCAGTGTATATGGGAATGATTGTTGATCTGTTAGCAATATGCCAAGTAGAGGGTGGCATAATCTTAATTTGTGCTTATGGTGGAAATACATATAAATGTACATTTTCATAAAATGAAATCAAATATACAGCAATTTCCATATTCTACAGAAAACATATCAGCCTGACGCTGGGTTTATTGTTCATCTAAAATTAGGTATAAATTATATAAAGGAAGTTAGTAGAGTTTTCCTTTTGTTAAAGGTGATTTTTTAGACCCAGGGTTGGGTTAACTAAAGAGTAGAATACAGACCTACATGTACATGTGCAGTATACAGTAAGTGTTTAAGAATACATAAAAATAAAAGTGATATTTGACAATCTCGCATTGAAGCTTGCAAAATGCGAACCCTTGGGTGTATATAATATTGATTGTAAATCTGAGATTGTTACTTACCCAACATATGTGCCATAAAAGCCAAGAGACAACTTCATATAAAAGGATAAGGAATATATATAAATTGAAAAGGAGAAATGTTTCTTTTGTTTCAAGGAATAAAGTGTACCTACTTCAAAACACGCTGTATACCAGACATTAATGTAATTCTCAAATAGTTATCCTATAAACTAGTTTTCAGTAGGTTCCTGATAAAAGTAGACAAAGAAGAGTTTAAATATATTAATGGATACACTGTATCTTGTACCTGAGATTTGTATATATATATATTGTTCATCTCTAATTCAGGCTAAAAAGAGAATTCATTTTCTTCACATCCATGTATGATATGCTCTTACTTGTTCAAAGTGTATGAAGGTGAATGTTTATCAGATATATTGTAGATTGTTTTAATATCTTGCTGCGATATGAATGAACCATGGCGTGTCAAACACAATTTTTATTTTATACATTGACTTACATGTAGACTGGAAGCAGGCAATAAACATTTGTAATAATTGACAATTCCACTCAGATTGCTACTTTGTAAATAAATCTGGAATATATTGATATCAGTTGAATAAGATAAATTACATGTTCATGTATTGTATTCTCGGAACTTGTCAAGGAATAAATAAAGATGAAATATAAACCAAGCTCAGTTTCAAGTAAAATTTATTCTCAATATATTTTGGAAGTGTATGAGCACATCATTTGTATTTCTTTACAAAATTTCTATTTACATAATAGTAAAGTACATTACATTTGCAAACATATATGAAGAAGAATCAAGTACATGTCTACATTGGAAAGAATATGGGTCTTTGTGTATCTGATGTAAATTCATATAACAATAACAGTTTCTCAACCGATTGGCCAAAAAAATGACACATAATTAATGTTGACACTATCATGAGACACACCACATAGCAAGATGTGACTAAACACTTTATACAATCCTTCTTTCAAAAATAGATATATGTTACAATGATTCAATTTGGAATTGTTACAAACGACATAAAATATCAACCAGAAATATGTCTAGTCTTACATCCAAGGTACATAAAGTAAGTAGTGTGAATCTAAACTGTACATTAGATACAGAAGTGCACTTTAAAATAATCTTGAACTTAAATCTATGGCAGGTTTTTTGAAAAGCTCTGTTTGCCCTGAGGCTTTAACATTCATTAGAAAACAAACTGCTTCAGAAATTACATGTAGGAATTTATCAGTAGACCACATTTTAAGGCAAGCATTTACTGATTTAACAAGAAAGGTGCTGATTATATTTTTCTTAAATGGCCAACCCAGATTTTTACACTATTAAAACAAATCCAGAAATTTACTTTCTACTATACAATAGAATATATCCTTCAAGTTGATAAAATACATCTGTACCACTAAAAACATTCTTAACCAATACATTTGCTATGGTCTGAAAGACAATGTTATATTGGAAGAAATGGAAGCGAGACATGAGAGCATGCTAAGTAGGAATAACTTTCAAACTACTGGTACATGGACAGATTTTGCTAAGCACACACATATCTTATTGGATGGAATCGAACTGTCTGAGCACACACACTTGCTTGCATATGGCATACTAAAACAGACAAAATTCTGAATGCTTTCATGTAGAAGTATTCAGAAGAAAGAAAAGAATCTAGGATTTATAATATTAATTTGAAAGCCCCCCAAATTGTAATCATTCCTCCAAAATAGGAATGGTTGGCAGGTATTAGCCACAGCATTTAATATGACATCCTGTTTCTGTGGAACGAAAAAAACCTCCCAGTAATCAATATTAGTTGATGGAACAGTACTTTTTGAAATGTTTTACAATCTGTTGCATAATCATGAGAGCTATCATACATTTCACACAGGTATTTCAAATTAATCTACACATGTACATGCACCTATTTTTCCCCTTTTTATTCAGCACTGACACAACGATTCACTATTTCTTGATTCATTATACATCTTAAATTTGTATAATTAACTAGTCTAGGTTTATTCATGTATCTGTATTGGTTACAGAAAAAATAGTTAATGACATGTCATGAACTGATGAATCTTAAATCTACAAGTACCTGGGTGATGGATTTTATCATTTTTGTGTGGAAAATAACTACTTACAAATATATCCTCGAAGACTAATTTTACTGTTCACTCCCACAATATTTCCTATTAGAAAATGGAAGTTTAAAAAGATACAATACAAGTATGTACATATTGCACACATTTATACACAAATCATAATTGGTAGACACGATGTATGCGGAATAACAACTTATCTACTTAAAGCTAAAGACATAACTCACATACAATTTGGATATGGCAAAAAGAATATATATTCTTAGTTAGCATAATTCATATACAGCTGTAGCTTAAAAATCTCTCAAAATTTGCATGATACAAACAAAATAAAACTCCACTCATAGCCCAATATAAATAATAATACATGTATAAACATACAGCCTAACATTATGCAAGTATTAGGAACCTACAAAACAGAATGGTTTTTAAACATCTACAGGCATGTTTATTAACAATATAAACAAAATCCTCAGGCCAAATCTTTCTGTTACGTATTGAACTGCCGTTGTATAATAAGATAAAGTTGTGAAGCTAATATATGTAGCTCATATAAAGCTTCAGTTGGTACTAGGCCTGTTAGGTGACTTCAATGTTCAAACACAGATTCTCTACAAGATTGTTTCCATGTAGATGAAAAATAAATTTGCTCTGTGCATCTTTTTTGGAGTAGATCATCTATCTATTCAGCCCATTATAAAATACCTTAAAGCTGGATCGATATGGAGACTTAATCTTGTAGACTAGAGATTTGACAGGGCTATTGATTGTTTGTTTCCGATGCTACATTATTAGACTGCAGAGAATAGGACTAGAAGTTGGTTGAGTACTACTTGACGGTGACAACGCCACCAGCTTTCTTGTTGACCCTCCTCTCGGCGACCTTCTGTTTGAGTCTTTCATTCTTGCGGACGGCGTTCTGAATCTGGAGGGGAGGTCGTAGGCTGTCAAGCTTGGGGGATTTTGAGAAGGTCTTCTGGTTGAAGATCTGGTCCAGGACCATCCTAAAATAGAATATCAGAAAAGGGTATTAGATAATAATGGTACATGTAGTATCCCGCTCTGGTATAGTACATACCACATTGTGATACAGTGAAATCTGCTTTAGGGAACACCTGTATAGAAAGACCGACTGTTTAAAAAGACCAATTTTTTTGTTTCTATTGCAAAAGGTATCTCATTGACACAAGTACTAAAGGAACCTGTACATAAAGACCCCTTGCCTATAAAGACCACAGTTCTTGTTGACCTTGAGTTAGTACAAATAATAATGGCTTAGCATATCTTCCTCAAACACACACAGGTACCTGTATTGTCAAATTCATTCCCACTGATAGATACTTCGCCCACTCTAACAATGAGAAATAGCAATAAGTTAAAATCAACTCCTGAAAATTCAAGTACAACCTGCTCTTACTAGTCTTAGTAGTGATTAAATGCAGACCCTCTTTACTGCCTATCACCTAAACCAATTTGTCATAATCCTACACATTGTAACATTTCATGGTTATAGAATCACTCTAATAGACAAAGACCTAGATCAATTGGACAAGTTCAGCCATTAGGTAATCATTTGACAGGTGATCACTGAGCTTGATTCAGTTCAAACCAGATTAGACTGGCTCAAACTGGTTTAGACTGGTATACTCACTGGACATATGTCTTGACCTCTGAGATGTAGAGCATGTCTCTGTCTATAGCTTTCAGAGGAACTTGATCTGGACCAACAAGCTGAATAGAGAAAAATAAGATTTGAAAATAAGATTTGATTTCTCAATGAAGGATTTTGAATTGAACGAATATACAATAATCATATTGTTTTCATTCTCAAACATGACTTTCATAACTCACATCAAACCTTAAAAGAGGTGTAGCATGACGAGTCTATGTGTCTCTCCCGTGGCCTGACTCGTGGCCAATCGATAATAATACGACTACTGATGACGCGACCGCAGTATTCACGTGCATGCAACATACGCAAAACCAGTCTATTTCGCAAATGCTAGCCCGCGCTGACTGTTAATCAAGTCAATTTGTTTACATGCAGTTGTCCAAAAGAAGTCGTAGATGGTGTTAACCAGTATTTGCCATGCTACACCCCCTTTAAGCTACAAGCTTAAAGAAATAAAATAGGCAAACACGGTAAAGTATGGAAACTCAATCAACCTCTATACCAATCAGATTAATATCTTCAAGGGGCTCAAGCGGATCAGACCGACAGCTCACAAGACCAACAATTTCATTCTTGCAGGCCTCTTTACAACTTTATTGAGGGTTTACTAGCCCAACATCCCCTGAGACCGACAGCCCATGAAACCAACATAGTTTTATCTTCCCTTATTTCTTTGCATTAATTGTCAGTCTCTAGGGCTGTCCGTTTTGTGGATCTTTTTTTTAAAAATATATCTTCTTTCTATACTTTTCAGTGAATTTGTTTGTCTTTTGGTCAGGTGGTCTGTTTATTGAAATGGGGACTTCAAGGACACTGCTAGGTACCATAACATATAAGATGAAATACCTTAAGTTTAGCTCCAGCGTTGAATCGACATGACTGAAGATCACAATTGAAGTTGATAAAGATTTGTTCTTGCATCATACATCTTACACTGATCTGTTGATTGAGTGAGAAGCAGAGAGGTTGGAATGGTGGCGTCTTGGAGAGTGTGTCTTCATCCTTCCATGACCAACGTTTCTTGATAGAACCTTTTCGATCGGTAAACACACCGCCAAACTGATTGACGTTCAATCTGAGATGAGAAAAAGCACGAATAGAGTATTGATCATTTCGTTAAAAAGATATGACTATGTAAAGAGGAAATGGACATCTTCCTCATCAATCTAAAGGGACTAATCCCCCATTCTCTCTCTCAGTGCCATGACTCTTGCTCTACTATCTTGCATTTCTTTGAAATCAGATCGAGTGTTAACCTATTCTACATTCATTAAACTTTGATCAGAGAGCTGTACTCATGAAGCCATTATACTCTATGCTTTAATAAAGAACAACCTTCAAATCTCTCAAGAATTTGAAATGTTTGTGGTCCTTGGATTTTCATATGATTCACATGTGACCCAAAATATTACAAGACCAGGGGGGTGTTTCACAAAGACTAAGATCGACTTTAAGTTGGGCTTAACTATGGCAGGCTGTTCATGCCATTGTTTGCTTTCACCATTTACTGGCATTGGTCTCTTAAGAGACGTGTAAATCGTGGTCATACATCTACAGAATTTACATTCTTTGATAGTTCATTAATAAAGGAAAAAATATTATCTAAAGATCATAATTGAGAGACCAATAGTGAGAGCAACCAATGACATGAATGGCCTGCCATAGTTAAGTCCAATTTAAAGTCCGTCTTAGTCTTTGTGAAAACCCCCCCCCCCCCCCCCCCCCCCCCTGGAATATCACTTTATAGATCACAACAGCAAAGTTTGGCACACAATGAATATAATCGTAATAACCTGAGACTGCAGTTGCAACGATTGCAAATGCAGATTTTTTAAAAGAAATGTACACATGACTATACATATCATCAGCAAAATTACGACCACAAAAAAAAGGGTTAAAGGTAAAGACCAGTATTGGAAACGCCCCAATTTCAAAAAATGAAATTGAAGCTCTCATTACCAATCATGTGAAAGAATATGTTTTGACTAATACATGTTGATAAAAAAATTGCCGGGGAACCGCCTACTAATTCATATATTTGGTAAATTTGTTTCTCTCATGGTCTGTGAGAGATATAGGGTAGTCCCATACACATCTTTCTGTGTATAGTGCTTGTAACTTTACGAAGAATGGGCCAAATTTCTTATCATTTTGATGATTCCAGAACCTTGCAGATGCTAGATGCTGGATGATCAACCTTTTCTGATCGATTCCACAACGTTTCTTTCACAATGCAATCACATGACCATAACTGGTCTTTACCTTTAACAGAAATGAAAATAGTGATATTAACCTGATATTGCCATTGCCATGGTAACAGGTTCCCTTTCCATTGGGTTCAAAGACAGCCAGGAACTTAGCTTCACCGGGTTTACCATCAGCTTGAACATAGTAGCTGAACTGATTCTTCTCTACCAGGGTGATGAGGATGGCTAGAGCACCCGAGGGGTAACTGAGATTGGTAGGGTCAAGGGTAAAAATGATGTGCATATCAATAGTTATCTACTTCATAAAACATAGTGGATGTTAATTGGAGGGGGGGCAATGGGGGGGGGGGGGGGGGGTGGAAGGGGGGCAATGCCATTGATGGGAGGGAAAATTTCTTCTCATTCTCACCCGTTGTTCATACATGATACAGGAGACCATGGCGGTTTACTGTGGGGTTGGGTTTTTATTGCGTGTAAATAATGGCAAGTGGGGATTTTAAAAGTAGAAGTACGAAACTAAGGTCCTGTATGTACTCATTATCTGTGTGGTGTAAGATTCACACATGTGCTGCGTTTTATGCTACATCATTGAACACATTTTTTCTTAAAATGCAGTGTCGCAATAACATAGGGGAGGGGTGGCTTTTCTCCCATTCATATTTTTTAATCTTAATAAGTGCAGAATACATGTACATTCCTCTTTTTAACTTCCAAAACTTCAATGGAGGTCAAGTTATATGTATCACATCCATTACAATAGAAACTAGTGAAACCTTTGGTACTATATGGAGAGGAATGGCAGGTATGGAGGGGGGGGGGGGGGGGGGGGGGTCTCGAAACACACCTGTCCAAGAAAGGAAAGACATCCATATAGTGCACCACATGTTGTGTAGTATTAAGAACATAAATCAGGTTTAGAATCTCTCCATACAGTCATCAGTAACGGAAGATGAATATAAAGGATACAACACTGCTCCAGTGCCATCTTCAAACATGACCATGAACAGCTCTCCACTTCGGTAATGCCTCCTTACGATCGGTGTCTCCTTACGACCCTTCTTCTGTAAGGTGAGGTAAAATAAAAAGATTTGTAGAGTTTGTTTATTCTGTTTCTAGATTATAGTCTCAGCTACATGATGGACAAAGGTCCAAGTAAATAATGCTTTGCTAAAAAGGACTTTTCTTCATTTTTTTCTAAGGAGCAATAAATATACTTAAAGAATCTGGGTCAAAACTATCAAATGAAGAATGTTGCCGTTTGTACCGTGACAAAATTGGAAATGTTTTGAAAGAAATGTCTTTTCTTACAAAGACACATATACATTCACATGTAAATAGAGTTTTGATATTTGAGATGTGTTTCTCTGATACATGTTAGACCTCTGTGTAATTTAACATACAGAGATACATTTAGAATAATCTGAATAGTGTCGTCCTATAATTGTTACTGAATCAATGTATCACTCATTCTCTCCCAAATCTCTTACAAGACCGTAGTTCAACAAGCATGTAGACATTGAAACTTTATCAAATTCATTGATTGGATTAAAAGATCTACAGTAGATGTACATGTATACAACTATTTGAGACTGATCTTGTCCATACATGACTCATAAATTCATTGCCATTGCCACCTTTACATTGCAAAGTGTATGTTTAGCTATTAAAACGTTTGATTATAGGCAACGAGATATTGAGCTATAGTATAGTCTTACGCTTGCACCGTGTGAGAGGGGGTATAGGATTGGGGAGTCCTGTGAAGGACTGTTGGTAATCTTTCTTGTGTGTGTGATATTGATGCTCTATAAATTCATGGATTGGCTTGGAAGACACGCTCACAAGTTTTTGAGAGTGATCTTAATCAAACATACTCATAATTTAATTGCAATTGCCAATTTTAAAGCCCCACTGCGCTACTTACATGTATAGCTACTTGCGCCCTCTATATAGCAAACAATGCCTAATTGGTGCCTGTTGGTTTCCCATGATTCCCTTTTCCTTATGTTAATTGAGAGCTGATTTGATGAGATAACCACCTGTCAGTGACCTTGCAGAGAGGTCTAATCCCTCCTGGCCAAACTAGTACAGACGGGCTTAAATTAAAAACTAACTCTTAGGATAGCAATAAAACATAGTGTGTTGATTACCCTTGTCTTGAGTATGACTGGTAGATGGGGTGTGGTCGGTTCAGGGACGTAGACCGGTTTGCTATGATCAGGCTCCTCTGGTGTAGGGGGGCGCTTTGTCCACCCCTCATCTAAGCACTTCTGAGATGACAGGGAGTAGTTGATCGTCTTCATCTGACGTGCAACTTTGGTGTTCATGGGAGGAAAATGTATGGATATCACATTAGTTCAATGAACTTTCACAGTAAATTAGCTTTCAAAAAGCATGTTCACATAACTGATCTTGAGAGAAGTTTGTCAGTCAGACATGAAGGAAAAGACCTTTTGAATAAAACTGACAGGATGTGTCTGTTCTTTCATCATTGTTATATAACCTTTGGATCAAAACAACACATAGCTTCTGGTAATATTGTTTCCATAGATTTGAATGACTGATAAAAATTGTCCAATATTCCTTCCTTTTTTGTAATAAACATTTCAAAAGATCCAAGAGGACACATCTTCTTCAAGTCCAGATCTTAGATTGGATGACCATTTAAGGCGGTGCAAGTGAAGGAAATTTTGCAGTACATAGTTTTACCAAAACAGTGGATATATTTTCAAAACAGCCATGTTGGAAAATTTGTTTTTCTTTTGATTGGTGCGAATGAACATGTGCATACAATAAACACAAACTTGTTACACTCAAAATGTTTTTTTAATGCACACTCATGAAAATGTGGGATAAACCAAACAGGGCACAAATACAAGTATATGCAAGCAGAGATAAATACGACGTGAAAATATACTGCTCATCATTACATGATAATATATATTGGTGAATGCTTATACACAGGACATATTAAACAAGCAGAAGTAGGAGAAATACAAATAATACACAGAAAGAAGGACATGATTTTGCTAGCAATGAGAGTATATAATAAAAATAGAAACATATTACATTATTAGAGAGAAAGAGACAGATAGAGAGATTGAGACAGAGAGACAGATAGAGGCCGGGAGGACATTGACATTAATCCATACATGTATTAAAATAAAGATAGCTATTTCTTTTTTTGTAATTTGGTTCCCTTCCTTCTCAAGAAATCATTCAAGTAGTTTTAACTTCTCAAAGGACTCACTCAAAGCAGATAAACAAGTAAATCATTCAATAGATTGAACAAACTAGGACATCTTTGAGGACTTATCAAATGAAGAACAAGTACTTTCATGAGCATGAGACTTACGATATGCGTCTATTCCTTTTAACTGGCAAACTTCAATTAATGGTGCAACATGACGATCACTCGCAAAAGAGCCACGACGAGTACGAATAGGAGGTAAACCTTCACAATCAGAGCCAGCAAAGATGAGAGTTTTACAACAGAAACAGAGTCTTACAAACTAAACAAAGTCTCTCTTCTGTATGTATGGTGCTGATTCAATTAGAAATGGATTCTCTGCTCTCTGAGAAGTGACTTACTTTTGTTTATAAGTGGCCCAAACGTTGTGGAACAGTGTGTGCAGCGCTTTGTAACCGCAAGGAAAAGGCACTATATCAAATATCTTTTGGATTGGCCGGAATGGATTAGATTGGATTCAACATTCATCATTATTATTTACTAATTTATTTATTTATTTTTGATGTCTAAGTGTATAGAGGGTAGCAATTTTTACCGATAGTGGTGGTATTCCATGGGGCTTTGCATTAAAAGAGTGCACAAAGAATATTGTTCCAAAAGAAAGAGGGTGCAGAAAACCATTCTGATATGAGGAATTACAATATGACTTGTATATGGTGGGGTTTTTAGATTGGGAGCGACCACTTTAAGAGCTTAGAATTCCTTTGGCAACATGGCATGGTGGGCAAATCTGGGGCATAAAAAGATTGGAATACATCAATTATAGATTCTTGTACCTTCAGACTTTCATGGCAGATAATTAAAAAGGGGACATTTTTAATTTCTACTTTATTTCCTATCAAAGAGAAGCTAATATGGAGAATTATGCAGATTGCAGAGTTACATCAGGCCTAAATTTTGTAATAACATGAATTTGAAAAGCTGAACGTAATGTCTTAGTGAAATGAACTTACAGGAATCCATTTCAAATTGAATCAGTACTCTTTTAACACTTCTCAGTAAAGAAACTTTAAACTTACCAAGGAATCAATTGAAAACTTACAAACTCCATCAACTGTGTTGAAGCAAGAGGAATACAACACTAACCAAGAGAACATTCTCTAATTTGAACTGCAACAATGTCCAGAAGCTAAATCAGTTGCTATGAAAGAGTGAACTAAGAAGTGGAAAACACAAACATAAGGCCTTTCAAACATCGGCCTAAAACTCTCAACCTGAACCGTAACTGACAAAAGACACACAATTAAGGTAAATGCAAAGACAAACATATCGAGACAATGGGAAAGTTTGGTCAAAAGAGGCAATATTTTGCCTTTGATTCAACCAAAATGTTGTCAGCTGAAAGCCAGAGGGCCATTCAGTCTAAGCAAAATAATAATAACAACAATAATGATAATAATAATAACAATAAAATACTATCCTTTTGGCTCCCAGCACACATCTCCAAACTCAAACAGGTTTGAAAGATAAACAATACAACATTGAAAAGGCAAAAAAAGAACTCAAAACCTGGTTTCAAAGCAAACAAATCTTTCCAATAAAAGATTCTTCAATTCAGCAAAAGAAAATCAACACATCTCTAGACTCACCTTCTACATTTTGAAAAGTGTAGTGATGGAAATGTCAAAAATAAAGGGAACCAGTTGATGTTAATAATGATGCAATGAAAATTAAACTCATAAATAGCAACAATGGTTAGGCAAGGATGAATAAAAAATAACTTGTAGCTGCAATAGAAAAGTCCAAATTAAGCGTTCAAGAAAATAAATAAGCTAGCCTCTTTTCAATCAAAGCAACTTCTGAAAATAAAATCCATATTTCAACTCTAAACATATGAAGCATTATAAAGGCACTGTTCAATCAAACAAACAACAATATCAAAAAGCACATGTAACACGTTGCTCCAGCTTCAACTTCTAAACAATATGAGCAACATAAAGGAAAACAATAAAACAGTATTAACTAACCATGATTTGTAGAAGTATTTTGTAAAGTTATACAAGAAATATATTAAAGAAATATGGGACAAGAGAGAGGCCAGAAGAAATGAGGGAAACTTGGAGAAAAAAAGGAGATAGAGAGAGAGAGGGGGACAGAGAGGGAGAGAGAGAGAGAGAGAGAAAGAGAATATGAGGAGACATGGTAAAATTATACAAGAGGAAGAAATGTTAATTTTGGGAGGGGGGGGGGGGTTTATGTTGGAATTACCACTGAACTGGAGGACAATATTTTGATAAAACAAAAAGAAAACATTTACAAATAATGTGTTATGTTTAGTACGAAACAATGAGAGCAGCAATGCTGACAAAGCTTAGTGAACGGGTAGTGCAGCGCTCCAACAGCTGAATTATCCATTGAAACCAAATATTATTTGAAATCACATTTTCAAACATTCACAATTCACTTTTCAGAGATTAAATTGAATCAAACAAGGAACGGTTCATAGGCTTTCAAATCCATGCATGCATTATGATATTGTGTTCAGAATTTAGGCACAAGCTGCTAGAATCAGACACATTATTTTCGGTGCTTAAAATACAGAGCAATATGATAGGAATTTTAACAACTTGTAATTTATTGTAATTTAAGGAAACATTGCAATCATTAATAAAAACGAATATTTCAAGCTGGAAGGGGGGTGGGGTGGTATTCGAAGGGGGTGGTATTGGAAGGGAATTGTGAGTATTTAATTGCAGTGTGGTATGGATCATGTAATGTGAAGACAATGAGTGCACTTTTTATTACAATGCTGTTATAATAATCCTATTATGTGTGGCAATATAAATACTAAATCATGTGATGAATAATGTGTAGGAAGTTATGAATATCAAAAAGATGATAATAAATGATTTAGACAAAAACAACTTATTTTAGTGAAACAATATTAAGAACAGTGTAGGTATCGAACGATTCGTTTTGTCAAGTTTAAAAACTCTCTGCAGATTAATCATTGTTAACAAAATTGGAATAGATTTTGTACTAATTTTGCCAAGTGATATTATTTATCATTTTATTGCCAAATTTTAATCCTAGCAATAAATGTCCTTGTAATGGACGTGCCTGTAAAATGTTAAAAGCCCGGCAATGCATTGTTTATGAAAACCAACACTGAGTATGAGTGCAAATGCAATAAATAATAAATTAATATATGAAATAAAATGTGCTGTGCACTCGAGAATGAAATATGAAGAAGGTGTTCTTTTAATCAACCGACCTCCATCCATGACTTCTATCCGATGAGCTATGTCATATAAGAGATTAGAAACATAGAAAAGGGAAAGAAAATACAATTAGGACTACAGATTATTGAGATACAAAGTAAAAATAAACACCACCCTTAGAGATACAGGCAGGAACATTCCCACAGCATAGCATATATGTTGCACAAGGTTTTACAGACAGTATTGCACACACTGAAGGTACTCTTTAAAATACAATGAATAGTACTGCTGAAAAGCGTAAATCGTTCCAAAAAGTAGTTGGCAGGTACATGTATCTTGTGGCAAAGAGTTTAGGTTACCTGTCGGCTATAGATGCACATATATTCATCTACATTTTGCCACTCTCCACCCAAATGGGCATACAGTACGATAAGAGAAAATTCCTCAAATGTGAGAGCGCCTGATCAGGGTAGCTTGGCTAATGCCAGGTGATATCAAAGTTACTATTATAATTATTCATATTTGCCACTGTGATTTTCTTTCATTTCTGTAACTCCGGTCAAAAACTTACACTGGATATTAATGATGGCCTTTAAAGATATGAACTCTGTTTTTTGTTGTACTTTGAATTGTAACAAGGACCTTCATGAGAGGCTGTGCATCACATGGTAAAATCTTTTGAGCAACAAATAGCTTCCATAATGGGAACATCCCTGCCAAGACCCCATCACCAACAATATCATTCTCTCGGAGTATGCATGAAACTTGACAATATGTGAAAGGTCCACCTAATCAATCACTGACCACTTTCATCTTACAAACAAAAGTAACTGCAACCCATGAAACCCAATCTCATTATTTGAGGTCAAACTACAGATATCCTCTGTTAAGAGCAAAAAGGGTGTTAACTCTGTGTTAACGAGTACTAGTATATTAACACCCTTCTGGCTCTGAACGGATGATATATGAACCTTTCACTTTAGTTCAAGTTTCATGCATACCTATGATCTAGCATTCATCTTCTGAGGGATTAAGACTGTTCTGTAAATGATATCTTGACCATTGCAGCCATGAACAGCAAAAATAGAAATCAATGCCTGCTCGTTTTGCAGTACTTTTTAGATTTCATGATTAACTGATATTATGCTGTGTTCAAGTCCATTCCTCAAATGATGAATGCTATCATTACTTACCTTACAACTAGAAGGTGGCAAAATGAGAGGTACAGTTACTGAAATAAAACTCTTGATTTTTTTGTGTCTTTTGATAATTATATGAATATTATTTGATTCTCCATTCTCTCATCTGTTTTTTTTTCTTAATAAATAATTGTATTGATAATGTCGGTCTACTGATCAAAAACTTATTTGAAGATATTCCTGTTCGGGCCTATTGCCCTTCTTTCTTGACAAAATTGACTAACCTATACTAACCTATGGGTAAAGTTTAAAACAGTCATGTTGCCACCTTCTAGTATGAAACCTGTATTGGGGTTGAAAGCAATGTGGCATACAACATTTTACCCCTATTATTAGAACACCTACCTTGTACTGTGAGTGGTATGCAATGAATGGTTGAGATATCAAATGTTGCAGCCACATCATGTAGTAGAAGATGAAGTTTCATTATTTGTGGTGAGAAACAATTGTGCATACATATTGCAAAAGATGAAAGCAAATATTAATTTCAACACCAATTTGTAAATTTAGAGTAAATCCATTAAAATACTCTTGATCTCACAAGTCGAATTCCTGGGTATTTTCTTGAAGTTTGTCACAGACACATTATGCAATTTATCAGAAAATAAATAATAAATAAAGAAACATTGATATTGTTGACATATATTACATTATATGATATGAACCGATGTTCAATCAAAAATTTGAAATAATTATTAGCATCTGTGAATGTAATAAATCTGACAGAAAAGTGAAAACTGATCACAAAATAATACTATTGGCTCATAAACAATGTAATCTAAAGTAATGTAAGATAACAATACAATCAAAACATATTGAGACATGAATAATTGTTAAAGAGGAGATGCAATCTAACTAATAGTAGGGAGAGCAAGGATTGCATGCTATGTATTAGCAATCAATAATTTCTGTCTTCAAAATATGGAAAAATTTTGGGCTTTGGCAACAATTTTTGAAGTGCAAAACAACCTAGAAAATAAAACCCAGTGAGATTTTTTTTCAAATAAAAGAAAATAATTGTAAGTAACCACTGCCATTTTTTAAAATTCATGCCTACGGTAATGTAAAATAGTTAGAGAATCAAAATTAAATCTATCTTTCAAGAAACTAGTAAAGCAATAGTTATTTGTTTACCCTTTCCATATATCAAACATGTGAAGGCATCGAATACGAATTCAACCTGCCCTGCGGATAATGTAAATTGACTAATCTTTGTAAAGAAGAAGTGTTTTCTCCTTTAAGTAAAGCTATCAAAGTAATGATTTAGAGGGATGCAGTAAAGTAAAATATAATTTATGTATGCCAAGGTTTTGAACAAACAAAAAACATTTGCACTATTAGCTAGCAGTGGGATGGAAGCAAGTTATATGAATATATAGAGTACCGAAGCTGTGACATCATAAAAATCTATTTTTGGAATTTCTCAATTTTTTCTTCACTTTACAAAAGAGCATCAAAAATCATGTTCAAATGTCTAAAACCAATGGAATATGTAAAGTTTTGGCTGAGATATGACCATCTGAGTGAATAGATTTCCTATAGGAACTCAGTGTTATATGCTCTGGCTCCTGACCATTATATTTGATGCTCATCCGGAAAATGAAGAAAAAATGAGAAATTCTAAAAATAGATTTTTATGACGTCACAGCTTCGGTACTCTATATGCCTCTTTACTTGTAGATCTGAATGTCTGAAGATGAAGTAGTACTTACAGGCATAGAAGTTAGCTTGATTAGTTCCTGCAGCTCTCTGTCGAGCCATCTCTCTATCCCTCAGCCTCTGGGCCGCTCTCTCCTTCGCAGCCCTCCTAGCCTGCTTGCTACCGTAAGGGGCGTGCGGACCAACGTCTATCATCTCTTCCGATGGATACTGAGAGAGGGGCGTGTTCTCTATGGTGTACTCAACCAGGTCCTGGTAGTCTTTACAGCAGAAGAGCTGGTAACCATGGCAACAAAATTCAATCAACAATAATGATGATAACAATCAGCTTTTAATGTTGATTATAAGATTGGTAATAAGTAATTGGTAATTGGTAAGGCCTCATTCAGATATGCTGAGGCAAAACTGCAGCATTTTTTTAATGACATAAAGTGTAATACGTGTCACAATTCTGTAAATTATAACACAGAGCTCAGTGAATTATTGTTATGTCCAGTTACCATTCATATACATGTACATGTAGATTGACGTTAACAGAAATGCGTCTTATTTTTACGGCAGTATACAACGTCATATCTGAATGGGCCATTAGCATGTATTTTGCCACTGTCTATGAGCCTACATTCCACACATGTAGTTGAGCTTGAAACAGTATCTTCAGCACCGAACTTAAGGTCTCGTGATTTCAAATGGTCCACATCGTTTTTCCTATTAAACTGGTTATTGAAATCACTTGTCAGCTATGCTGATTTGGATCTCAACAGTAACTCAAAAACCACTGAACAGATAATCACTCAGGGCAACTATATGTTCTTGAATTTGTCAAATGTTATCCACTATATTAGCATGCATCCAATTCTACACCGAAAATTGTCTGTACCACCGCTGTAGAAAGCAGAACTTTGCATGAACCGTACCTCAGATTGTGACATTGATTTGAGCATCTCATGAGTTGGGAACGTCTTGGCGTCCTTGTTGCAGAACTCGCACACCTCAGCGACCTCGTTCACAGTCGACAATGGGGGCGTTGTCCTGTCGTCCAAATCATCGCCGAGGTTCTTACTTCTACTGGCCTTCACATCAACTTTACCGGGTGGGTCATCATAGGGGTAATCATATTCATCTTCACTGTACTTCTTTTTACCTAGGTAAAAGGAATTAGAAAGAGATAATGATTCTACTGCATGGCACTTGGAGTACCCTAGCTAGCTGATGGTTCATAGGAAAAGGATGACCATGAAATGAATTATTAACATCCATGAATAAATGTAATACGAAAATAGATTTACCAATATTTAGTATTATGATGCAATTAGACCCCAACTCAGAATGTTTATTTTTTTAGTAGGCAGGGTACAAAAAATGGAAGTACAGAGAAAGTTGAGCACTATAATGTCAGGGTAGAAAAAGAGAAAGAGAAGGAAAGGGGAAAAGAAATGGGCAAAAGGAAAGATGGGGAACGAACTAAAGGAGAAAGGAGAAGAGAGAGATCAATTCAATTCAATTCAAGGTTTATTAAAATATATTTGCAGCTGTTGATGGCTGAATTGCAAAATAGTTCACAGTTAAAACCATACAAAATTACAAAATAAACATATCCATCACAATGAACAGAGTTAGTATGAAATAGGAGGAGAAGTGAGAAGGAAGAGAAAAAAAATACTTTACCTCGTATCCCGGCTTCTAATTTGTTATCCTTCTTTTTACTCAGAAGTGCAGAGTCAACATCATCGATGTCAATACCGGCTCCAGATAGAGACAGAGAAAGAGAAGAAAACAGGAGAAGGAAAGATAAGGAAAGAACGAAAGAAAGGTAGATAAGACACAGAATAGAGGAGAAGGATGGGATGAGCAGGATGAACATGAGGACAAGTTAGAGGATAAGATGGAGAACAAGAAAAAGAAGAAGGGGAAATTTGAAAGGAGAAGAGAGAGATATAATGATATTGGAGAGGAGAGAGAAGGAGGAGAGACTAGATGGAACCTATACAGTAGGCTTGCGGATGCACCATGTGAGCGAGAGGGAGGATTGAGGAGTCCTGAAAAGGACTCTCGTAGTCTTTCTTAAGGGTGTGTAGTCCTGAAAAGGACTGTTGGTATAGTCTTGAAAAAGCCTGTTGCTTATCTTTCTTATCTTATAGTTCTAAGAAGAACTATAGCGCTTGGAGATGATGGGTGGCGGGAGTGGCTCGACGTTTTGAACAGGTTGACCATCCATCGTCAGGAGTGGAGATCGAACTTTGACTGCGCGAATTCAAAAATGATGCGTCCGCCATAGAGCCATTTTACAAACCAAAACAGGTCTATTGGTTCTAATGCTAAAGCGATCACAAGCTATTTTTGCATACATGAGCCCTGTGACATTTGACCTCGTAACCTCAAAATCTAATCAGTTCATTGGCTCTGCAAGATACATATATAATTCAAGTTTGGCGCGAATCCATCAATCGGTTCTTGAGATAACGCGATCACGAAAACGGGACGTACAGACGGACACCCTTAAAGATAAACTTTAGTACTGGTAATGCGATTGCATTGTGAAAGAAAAGGTGTGGAAAGGATCAGAAACAGTTGATCATGTAGCATGTAAGTATTGGTGTGCACTGCAAGGTTCTGGAGTCATCAAAATCATAATAAATTTGACCAAGTCTTGGTAAAGTAACAAGCACTGTACACAGAAAGCTATATATGGGACAACACACATGGTGTCGGGGCTGGTACTACATGTACCTTGATTTCCTTGTCTTTCTATGCTCATTACTCAGCCAGTATACATTTTCTTCCAAAATTGTTTGGCACATGTCATTTATTTGTAATTTTGAACATTCAGTGTAAGTTTTGTTTGATTCTGTGAGAATTAATTTTCTTTTTTTTACCAGAACTCAAGTTTATCTTTAAAAACATAATGCCTCCGGCCACTTAGTAGCGGAGGCAGAAAAAGTAAATTTACCTCGTATCCTGGCTTCTAATTCTTTATCCTCCTCCTCACTGAGATCTGCAGAGTCGAAATCATTGAAGTCAAAGTCCAATTCTTGTCCGACAACATGGGCGGCATCCTTGTACTTCTGTGAGATAGGCACCTGCTCTGATTCACGCTGATATTTAATGATCTGAGGAGGACCTATCTTAGGCACTCCTTGGTCTGATTTCAGGACTTCATCTTCATCAGAAAACTAAGATAATACAGAATAAAAACATGAATTACATTGGCTCTATAGATATTAATTACATATACAATGTTACCAACCAGAGACTTCTAAAGAGTGCATTTGCTGATAACACACTTTGAAAAGTCCATCTGTAACAGGAGCAAGTACTCCAAGAACTCCCCAGAAGGAACAAGGAGAAAACTGTTTTCAGTTACGGCGATTTAAAAAAAATTGTCTATCTTGGCATACAAATTATACAAAAAATGTTTGCCTTATTAATTACAATACAAAATCAGTTTTTCAATCAAAAGTACAGTATCAGTATTATTTTATATACTGTATAAGAGAATTAAAATTTACCTCTGAATCAGAATCCATCTGTAGAGGGGGTACTTCATCCTTCTCTTCTCCCTGTGTCTCTTTCACTCCATCGTCTTCCTCTACATATCTGCTGCCCTCTCTTGACTGAAGCTTGTCACTGATTGGTCCCTTACTACTGCTTGAGAGTGCAGACTTGATGGTTGGTTCTGTAGGTGTCTTGGGGCGTAGCGTACCTAAGAAGGATTAAACAAGAACACATCTTGCTGTGAATCATTTGACTGATTAAAAATAACATGTATCGCAACCAAAATTTCATGAGAAAAGTCAGATGAACAGTTCATGGTACGATTGTTCATTAGCACATTTTGACATTCAAGAAGAAAACATGTTTTTCTTGAAGAAACAATAGAAGACATTATCTGATTCAGAACCAGAAGGGCATTAACTCTGTGTTGACAGACTATATTAGGATTTGGGCTGTGTATAAAAAGTAAGAACTGCGGTAATGATTTTTTTTCTGACAAAAGTATCCCAACAAGGTGAAAAAATGAGCAATTAACTCATCTCAATGAAAAATGTAACGACCATTAGAACCAATTTTAATTATTATGGAAATTATAAAGCCCTTGCTAACTCAAAATAAAACCCATCCTAAATAGATGTTTGATCATTAGTGTTATTGGTTCCAACTGGGGAAATGGAAGTTGAAACATAGAACCTCTTAATGACAATGGCCTTTGAAGCTAAGGCTTAGTTGCATTCTTACCTCCTATAGAAGCAAGTTCCTCTTCTGTTTTCCCTAGAAATGTGATCATTTGAAGCCAGCTCCATTCTGTCTCTGTAGCACATGATATAGTAACCCTCTCACTCCCGTCCATTCCTTTGACCTTATGAACCTCTCTGATGGCTGGCGAGTTTACGTCCTTCTTCCGCTTACCAGCCGATGAAGGAGTACGGGACCTGCAGGTGGAAATCAATAATATTCTTGCGAACTTGTAGACCAATTTTGGTGTGATCGGTCACTATGCAGATGAGCTTGGGGTGTTAGCATTTGTGGCCTTCCATGTTTCGTGAAGGTTAAAAGCAATATCAATGAAGCATAATACTTTTCTTCCAATAGCTTAATTAAATGGTGCGTTTTTTAAATGTGCAATGTCCTCAAAATAGAAATAAAAATATGCCTCAGATCAGTGCCTTGCTTGCCAGCTGAGAAGTGAATCCAAGTGAAATGTCCTCACATACACCTGTACTAATTAACACCTATTGCTCTTAACTTAATACCAATCCATAATGCTTCCATTACTCAGAAAACTATTCCCTTTTACAAACTAGGATATAGGTGTCGTGGTCGAGTGGATAAGTCACCGGACTGTGGATCACAAGGTCCGCGGTTCAAGTCCCGCCGCGGCACTAATGTCCTTTGGCAAGACATTGATCTACATTTGCCACTCTCCACCCAGGTGTTAAAATGGGTACCCGGTAGGATGCGAAAGCTAATGTGGTTTGATTAGCAAGTGGCGCTTGTAAAATGGCGACTGGCTGGAATGCTCCCCAGGGAGTGGAGAATGTGCATACCTTGTGTGCGGGTAAGCCTGAATCCGATGACCGGGGTAATAATAATATGTTGTAAAGCGCTGTGATACACATGTATGTCTGTAAGAGCGCTATATAAATGCCAATATTATTATTATTATTAGGAAAATTCATGCAGCTGGCATGATGCTCAAAGTCTTAAACCATGGAAAAGACAACTACATGTACTGCCCCTCCCACCCCCCCCCCCCCCCCAAAGAGAGAGAGAGAGAATTACCTATCTGCTCCATCTCTGAATGAAACTGATCTTTCTGAGCGAGCCGACATCCTTGCTAAACTTGTTACTGTGTCTTGATCATCCTGGTTTTCTCTTGATACAGATAATCTGGATACATCTGAATCAGAAAAAACAAAAGTCAACTTAAAAGATGCTGGTAAAGGAGTCGACAAATCATATTTGTTTCAGTACAGCCAAAACAGCAAAGAAGAAAAAATGCATCAGTACTGTAAGAAGCATATTGAGAGTTTGAGACTAGATAGAGAGAATAAGAGAAAAGGAGTGCAAGAGAGAGAGAGAGAGAGAGAGAGAGAGAAAATAAAAGGGGTGCATGAATAATAAATACTAATAACTACATCATGTAGCATCGTATACAATGATCCAATCCAAAACTTTTCTGTTTTTGTTAATTTTAGTGCATGGTCGATTCAGCTGACAAATTGTTACAAACACAATATGCTTTTTTTTCTTCATTTTCTCCACTATTTCACTATATTCAGTCAGAAATTTCTGATGAAAATGAAATCAATGCAAACTACGGGTTTGTGTATGATAAGTTTCTTCTTCATAAACTGGGATATTTTGCTGTGTTTTCTGTAAGGATCACTTGACAATTTGTATACGACCCCCCCCCCCTCTCCCTTGTTTTGAACAGCATTTTCAACCTGCCCCTGACAATAATTTATCTGCAGAGCCTTGCTTATTTCAACTATATGTTTCAGATGATTCCTTACCAACTCCATTTTGTTGTAGTGAGACAGGGTCAGATCCAATGGGTGGAAGAGGTTCTCTCTTTCCACTTCCAGTCCTTACATGTATATCATCTGGTCCCGGTGTTGTTCCATCAGTAATATTACCTAATCCTCCTGATTTACCAGAGCATAACCTGACTGGCGTACCACTCCCTGGAGTTCTAACTGGGCCTAACGACTCCCTTGATATCGGTCGATCACGCTGCCCTGAATTAGCACTACCTTGTCTTGACAGGGGATTTTCCTCCAAACCCACATTCTGTTCATGAAGTCGCAAGTTTTCAACTGTTAATGCCGAGCCAGGGCGTTGTTGAGGCGTGCCAGGAGAGGGGGTGATTCGTGGCATGATATCGGAAGGACCAACCTGGCTTGCTGATATGGAAGCACCGTCAATGTCCGACTCTGTTGGCATGTTGGACACCTCTTCCTCCTCCATTATTACATCCGTCACAATAGCATCGATATCACTCAGGTCCGCCATCTTGGGGATATACTTTCAGATCAGTTAGAAGAATTATGAATCCATGTTGGTCATGACTGTTACAATGTAGCTTTTCTTTTCTCCTGCTCTACCTATTGAAATAATGATGAACAAATATAAAAACAATTACGAAATAAAAAGTTACAATACAAAGACTAAATGTACATCTGTATGTAGGTCTGCTGAATTAAATTAAAAGAATGTCAAAGGAGCTATCTCAAATTTTAAAATCTTTGTTGGTGGATGTTTTGATAGCTGTTGGCCTAGGGTTGATTCACTCAAATCCAACTAAACTAGTACAATACAAGACAGGGACTACATCGTGTTCATGTGTCTAAACCAAAACTGATGAGTCTTAAAACTCTTTATTACGTCACAATCTTTCGTGCGCGCTTACAGTGTAGCTGCTCCTAATGAATATTTATACATATTCTTACATCCTCCCTTTTTTGTAAAAGATGTGGAGTGACATCATTATTTAAAGGATATAACCATATTACTGTCATGGATACACAAAACAAATAATTGTGGTTATTGAAATTTCTGTCTTAGTGCAATCTTTAACTTTAACATATCAAAATCATAGAACATGGAATATATAGTCGAATGTTGAACTAGAACATGACTTTGGTGTACAAATAAGGTTAAATAGCTCGAAATACAATCTTTGCTATGTAGTATATCAGTTGTAACCAGTTTTATGATTAAAATATCAACAAATTAAATGCTTTTTTTTCCTTCATTTTGTTTTGTTTTTCTAACACAACACTAGAGTACTTATTTACAGCTGTCTATTATACATAATGTAAGCATAACACTTTTCAAACTAACAAACTCAATCTGATCAAACTCTCTTGGGAGTGAAATCTTAGCAAAATAAAACATTATCAGGATATTTTTGACTTAAATTCTTGATCATACTAAAAATGTTCCGCAAAACTTTGGCAAGACATCTTTGTCAATCAAATAATTTCAACACATATGTATATTAACTTGCATTAGTTTTCAACAAAATCACAGAATCATCTTTTTTGCTTCAAACATCTTACTTATCAACATAGTCACCAAATCTTTGGGGTGGCTTGCTTACTCTACCAGATCTGGTCTTTAGGAAAGACTGAGTGTCATTTTTGTCTACCTGTTCTGTTCGAGTATTTTGTGTTCTCTGAGGTTTGTTTTCTTTCACGTGATTTTGAGTACTTTGAGGGTGTTTAGTCATGACAGTGTTAGATGGTAGATACGCCTCTTTCCTTTCAGTCCCATGAGCACGTGGTTGTGGCTGTGGCTTCTCAGAAATTGTTTTCTGTTGATCTTCCTCAGTGTTTGGTGGGGGTTCTTCAGTTCTCTTGAGGTCGACCCTGTTTCTTCTGAGGAGTAATCCAGAGTCGGTCTCCACCTCGTAGGACCTCTCGTCGAGCCGTCTATTTACCACTGCTCTTTGCCAAACTGTGCTTCCTGATTTGTATGGCTTGAGACGTACGATATCTCCTTCTACTAAGGTCGGCAGATCTTTGGCATGTAAGTTGTAGCGTTCCGACTGCTTACGTTGTAGCATTTTAAGCTTTTTCCTGTCTTCACTGAGAACCTCTGCACCTCTTGGTTTCAGGAGACTGGATGAAGTGGGAAGTAGTGTTCTCGTCCTCCGTCCATGAAGCCTTTGCGCTGGGCTACTGTCAACACCTTGGTTTGGGGTATTTCGGAGTTCTAGCATTGCTAGGTAGGCGTCACCCTTAGACTGTGATGTTTTCTTGAGGAGTCTCTTTGCAGCCTTCACTGCAGCTTCTACCTTCCCATTTGCCTGGCTGTGTCTTGGGGAGATTGTGACGTGATCAAACTGCCATCTTTTAGAGAACTTCGCGAAATCTTCGGATGAGTACTGTGGTCCATTGTCACTGATTACAGTGCTCGGGATGCCATATCGAGCGAAGTGGCTCTTCAGTTTCCCGATTACTGCCCGACTGCCAAGGTCATACAGTCTGTCGATTTCCCAGAAGTTGGAAAGGTAGTCGACGGTAACGAGGTAGTGTTTCTTGTTAAGTTCGAACAGGTCGGTACCTACTTTCTCCCATGGCCTGTCTGGGATGTCGTGTGGCATGAGGGTTTCCTTCTGGTTCTGCTGCTCGTACATTCTGCAGGCTTCACATGTCTGGATAAACTGCTTGACATCCACGTTCATCCCAGGCCAATAGATGATTTCTCTGGCCCTTCTAAGGGTCCCTTCAATTCCAAGATGAGAAGTGTGAAGAGTTTCCTTCATTTCCTTGCGGAGGGTTATGGGGATGACTACTCTTTCTCCCCTGAATACTAGTCCATCTTGCACGCTTAGCTCGTCTCGGATATTGAAGTATGACTTAGCCGCTTCGGGTACTTCTGCTTTCTGTTCCGGCCAACCTTTGTGGATGACCTTCTTGACGGTCTGTAGAACCTCATCATTGTTAGTATGAGATTGCAGTTGTTTAACCCTCTCCTCTCCCATACTCAGGGTTTCAACGATGTTCACCTCACCAAATTCAGTGGCTCCTACAGTGGTGGGTAGGTAAGCTCTTGACAGCATGTCAGCCAGATGCATGTCCTGTCCCTTTACCCAGGTGATGTCGATGTCGTAGTGCAACATCCTCATTGTGTGTGTGTGTATTGGGTTTTTACAGACGTGTATCAATCAGATATGATTATTTACGTCTGGGACCGACCTTTAAACGTCACCATCCGAAAGATGTGACTCAGTTTCGAACCTGCGTCCTCGGCTGAATCAGTTTGTAACTTCCACTTTTTAGCTGGATTACAGGCGCACTAACATCCTCATTAACATGCCTTGAAGGCGTCTTGGTGCCTTATGGAGAGGTTTCTTGACGATCGCCTGTAAAGGTTTATGGTCACTCTCGACTATGACCCTTTGTCCAAAGGTATATTGGTGGAATCGTTCGAGAGCGAAACATATGGCAAGTGCCTCTTTCTCGATCTGGGCGTACCTCTGTTCAGTTGCTGTTAGAGCTCTGCTAACGTAGGACAATGGTTGTCCCTTCTGGAGAAGTACTGCTCCGAGCCCTGACTTGCTTGCATCACACTGGATGGTCAGTGGTAGGTCTGGTGAGTAATATGCTAGGACAGGTGCCCTGGTCAAAGATTCCTTCACTCTTGACATTGCCCTCTCGTGCTCCGATGTCCATTCCCAATCGGCATCCTTATGTGTTAGTCGTCTCAACGGCTCAAACATATCGGACAGCATAGGTAGAAACCTTGCGAGGTAGTTGACGCTGCCTTGTAGGCGTTGCACTTCCGTAGGGTCAGAAGGGTTGGGCATCTCTAGAATTGCTTTGACCTTTTCAGGATCTACCTTCAGTCCCTTGTCTGTCACTATGTGTCCTAGAAATGGAATGCTTGTAGCCTTCAGCACAGATTTCTTCTGGTTGAGTTTGATACCTTTATCTCTGCATCTCTGGAGCAGAGCTTCTAGCTTACGATCATGGTCCTTCTCTGCTTGCTCTCTGTTGTCTCCAACACCAAACAGGATAATGTCGTCAGCAACACACTCAATTCCATCAAGGCCATTCAAAGCCTGTTGTAGCTTCTTTTGGAATATTTCCGCTGACGCATTCAGACCAAAGGGTAGTCTTTTCCATCTATATCTCCCGAACGGGGTGTTCATTGTTGTAAGGAAGCTACTCTCATCATCAAGCTCACAGTGGAGGTAGCCTGATCTCAAATCAAACTTGGAAAAGATCTTAGCCTTTGACAGCTCCGGGAGAATGTCTTCCATGACTGGCAATCTGTGTATTTCCCTTTGCAAGGCTTTGTTGAGGGGTCTTGGGTCAATGCAAAACCTCAATTCATTCTTGTCTTTCTTCTCAATAACGACCAGTCTGCTACACCATGGGGTTGGTTCCTCAACCTTTATCAAGATGTCTTGGTCAACCAATTTAGCAAGTCCATCCTTGACTCTCTGCTTCATTGCCACTGGTACTGGTTTGGCGTTACACTGTGTTGGGGTCACTTCTTCCCTGGTCACCAACTTGACCTTGCCAGGTAGTTTTCCAGGAGTTTGCTCGTCAAAGATGTCACTGAAACTCTCTAAGATGTTTTCAGGGCTTACAGCACAGACCTGGTTGAAGTTCTCATAATGTACAGTTATGAATTTCATCTGTTGTGCAGCTGGACCGCTCAGGAGTGGTACTAAGTTCTCCTTAACAACGATGAAGTTGACTCTGTACCTCTTGTTGTTCTTAGTGTTACGCAACACGACCTTAGCCCGACCTTCTGCTTGAAGACGAGAACGGTTGTACATCTTCAGTATGATGTTCTCTTTGACTATGTCTTCTGCACTCGGGACAAGGCTCTTTGAAATAACATTCACACTCGCACCTGAGTCAATCTGGAAGTTAGCTGGCCTGTTCTCAACCAACATCTCCGCAAACAGTCCTTTAGATGGTTTGGTGCCTGTAGCGTACACCTCTATCTCTATGTGGTTCACAGATTCCGTTTCCGACTCTGTCTGGTTCTCTGCTGAATCCTCAGACTCTACGTTATGGATCTCCTTCTTGTACTTTGATCCCTTCTTACAGCATATGGCGAAGTGGTTTTCTTTCCCACATTTCTTGCACATCTTCCCATAGGCGGGGCACTCTTCCTTTTTGCGTCTATGAGTATTTCCGCAGAACTTGCACTTTATGAGATTCTCTCCTACTGGCTGTCGCCTTGGACTCTTCGTCCACTGCTTTCTTTCATGTGACTTTTCTACCCTGTGGATAGAAGGATCATCTCCAATGACCTGCATTTGGGAGGCAGTGACTTCAGAAGAACGGCAAATGTCTATAGCTGTCTCCAACTTCAAGTCTTTCCTTTGGAGGAGGATTTTCCTTGTTGCAGTATCAGCAATTCCCAACACGATGCGATCTCTGATGAGGCTTTCCCTCAGGCAGTCGCAAAACTTACAGGTTTTAGCGAGCTGTTTCAACTCTGTCACATATGCTTCGATGCTTTCACCTTGTTTCTGGTCCCGCTTGTTGAATATGAATCTCTCATATATCTCATTGGTTTGTCCGATGATGACAGAATTCATCTTCTGGATAATGACATCGACTTTCTTGTCATCTCCATCTCTTTCAAAAGTAATAGCATTGAAGATTTTTAGACCTTCAGGACCTACTGTATGGAGAAATACAGCTCTTTGGTACTCACTGTCCTGTTGCTTTAACTTAGTGATAACCTCATAATTTTCATACATTTGTTTAAACATCTTCCACTCTTCCACCCTATCTTCTTTATGCCTTAGGGGTGGCGGTGGTGCAATATGAAAGGGAAGTTGAGCTTCAGCCATGTTTGTAAATGTGTACAATCCAATCTGTTACATGTAATGTCACTGAACCTGGTTCTGTCCTAGACAAAAAGTACCATGCATGCAGAGTTACTACAACAAATATAATGCATTGGACCAATACTTAAAATCAGCACATAAACAGAAAGAATGCACTTGTATACTATCAATACTGGCAACCAGTATGGTACACACAATGTCCATACAACTCTTGAACCAAGACTATGTAGTTTCACACCAATAGGTCACATTACAGGGATCTACTAAAGTAATGACAAGAACGTCCCTGCCTAGGCCATCTAGAATACTAATGTGTCATGAACTTAGATACCATCAATATTATTGAATACACATGACATTATCATGAGACCTCCTCGTGAACTCTTACAATTCAGATTTTAAGTCTATCTCACTTCTATACATGACTAACTTCTAACAGAAGACAATGGTCAAACTAGCTAGATCTAAATGTAGATCTGTATTACTATTACTAATAATACTAGTCAGAACTCAGATGGGTACCATGGAATCCCCAATTGGTTGAATATATCATACAACTTACAAGTATATAGCTCTCAAACCTATAAAGTACAGAACAAGGGTTAGGCATATTGCTTATCAACAATGATCAAATTCAAAACAATTCCACACTTGACCCTCCTTACATTCAGCTCAGTCTTATATAATAGCTGATTGTTGTCCAGTCCAGTAGGCCTATATAATTATAATTAACTGTTCAATCTCTTCGAAGTATACTGAAGTTATATGTCCTGAATATCAGTTCCAACTCAATCCGAGGTAGATATGGACCTATCAGCGATCGTTAAAGCTCAGTTTCTAGACTAGATCTAGATCTGATATTGATCAATCATCAAGTCCCTTTTCCTTGTGAAGACAACACATCTGGAATAGATTCTGGATACACCTTGTCGTCGTAGTGTAGATCTGGCAGTGATACTGGAGTCCAAAGAAGTCTGCACATCAAGAAAGGCTCACTCAGTGACTGACGTTACAATAGTTGCGCAGTAGTTCCAGTTAATAACACAGTCTCATAATGTAGGTCTAACTTGTTACATGTAGGTCTACAAAGTCAAGTATGCTCCCATCGCGTGAAGTTACTTTTCTGCTTCACTGCTGCAGTGCTGGGCTCACCTGTAGTCTAGTCTCGGAGGGTGCTTACACCATGTCCATGTCCGCACGAACACACACAAATACACTGTAGATCTAGGTCCTATCTAGACCAGAGTCGATCTAGACTAGCTTGTGATCCAATAACGATAAACTCCAATCAAGAGTTCGATTACACACATCATCGCACGACGACGTCGAAGTGGTTCCAGGTCCACATGCACGCGACACATAAAAGTTCTTTCTCGTGCACCGGAATACGGATTCACAGAAGACACACACATGTAGTACAGAATATACACGACGACGCACTATAGTACATACCGCACCGCACTGCGTTGAAGTCGCCAAACTCAGTTCTCGGTCATCAACAATTCTGTCTCACAAAGCATGTCCAAAATCCGCTATCACTACAGTGATCAGACTCAAGATCATTTCAACGGCAAAAAAAAACATCTATCCGCCGCTGCCACCATGTTTTGATAGCTGTTGGCCTAGGGTTGATTCACTCAAATCCAACTAAACTAGTACAATACAAGACAGGGACTACATCGTGTTCATGTGTCTAAACCAAAACTGATGAGTCTTAAAACTCTTTATTACGTCACAATCTTTCGTGCGCGCTTACAGTGTAGCTGCTCCTAATGAATATTTATACATATTCTTACAGTGGATTTCTTGGAATTAGAATCAGGTTAAAATGTAAAATTAAAGAAGTTTTAATCAGAGGGCCTAGCGCGTTAGCGCTCGCGTCATTTCCACTCCCAGATTGGCTTTCTCCAAAAGTTATCTACCGTAATGAGGATCTGAGACATAACGGTAGATAACTTCACACAGGCGCGCACACGCCCGCAACCCACCATCGGTATGCACTTGTATTGTGGAACGGTTTGCCGTGAAACCTGTGAAAAAGTGTATACTAATATCAATGTTTATCCGAAAAATACTCCAAAAATAACAAGAACATTGACACGAAACAGGTAATAAACATGAGGACTTTTAACTCATGATCTTTATTTGGACATTTAATGAATATTTAGGCCTAGATCTAGACCCCTGGCCCTACCCCTACTTCATTTTGGGTATGTTTTAGTAGGGTATCTCCACGCCGGAGTTACGGCTCAAATTTTGGATAGGTTTCTGAACATAAAAAATTCCTTCTTCTTCGGGTTGACCCTTGAGTCTACGTCTGCCTCATTCACAATTGAAGATTCTTGCACTGTTGCAGACTGATGAGGAGCGAGTGTGTGTGTGTGTGTGTGTGTGTGCATGGTACAATAATTAAATTGATAAACATAGATCTAGATCTACATGTAGATGATCTAGATCTAGACCCTACATAACAATATGGTGCAGGTGCAATTAAAAAGTGTCTAGATCTAGATCTAGATGATCTAGATCTAGATCTAGTCAATTTACTTAAAACTTAGAAATTAAGAACTCTTGAATGTTATTGTTAGCCTAATTGTTTTGCTTTTGTTAGACTAATTTATTGTTATGACCTTAACATTATTCACAAAACAACTTAACAAGTGAAGTGTTACTTGAGTCAGCCTTGAGGCAAATTTTTGTAAAAATTCACTGGCGTTTGATCTACACCATGATCATGTAGATCTAGACTATGATGTAGCAGACCTAATCAGCTCAGCTCAGCTCAGATCATGTTTTGAATTGACAAATCAAATCAAAATTAAAATGACAACGAATATTCATTGGCTTGCATGTATCAATCATATTTATTCTTTTTCCTCGCCTCATTATCCACGTTTTAAATCGTCAAGACTGTCTGACATTTTTACTTTAAATAGAAAACATAATCTACAGTCCACACTTACAGTAATCATTCATCAAATATCAGAACGAGGTCGCGTCGCGTCGGCGAATTGCACAGTAATGCTCGTCATGATCATGTCACTCCAGATCTGATCCAGCGGAATTTTATCCCCGATGATGCCGACTTCTCCGGGGATGGTTTGCTCAAGATCCGCAGAGAATTCACCGGGTGCTGTTGTTTGCAGCGCTGGTCATGGTGACTGTCATATGATTGCAAGAAGCGTCACGATTGGTCTATTTTCAGCAGACGACCTTAGACGTAACATCGTCGTTTGGAAAAGAATTATATTTATTTTGTCGTTAAAACGAAATATTTAATAATTATTTCTAAACTAGTAACATTTTTAAATTGTGTAAAAATAATTCATATGAACAATATTTCATATTTTGTGTATAAAATCCATCAAATTTTAGCTATATTGACAAAGCGACTGAACTGTGAAAGCTGATGAAATATTCTGTCAATGGCTATTTTCTACGATTTTTTAACATTTTAGAGTAGTTTCTGGTTCGAGTTACAACTCTTTACACCTCATATGGAAAAATGTACACGATGAATGTCCTTTTGTCAAGTATACGTACATTTCCGGGACGGTAAGGAGTTATTTGCATCTACAAATTTATATAGATCGCTTCATCCAGTCCCATCTATTTAAAAAAAAGTGGGGGATTATGATGCCTGCTAATGTGTTGTTTGTTGCCTGAGCTGAATTGATGATTTTCGGTGTAGGCCTAGGCCTAGATCTAGATCTAGCTATATTATTTTGGAGCAGTGCTCATAAATTGGTTATATTGTTGATAATGAAAACAACTGTTTCCTAATGTCAATGATGATGATGAAGTAGCTGAACATGATCATAGACTATTCATGATGATCATGAACTGAAGTTGAAGAGGAGGCCGGAGCGCGAGCGGAGGAGAGAAGGAGAAGAATAAAAAGTGAAAGTTCTGGTAACATATGATTGTTGAAAAATGATGATTGTGAAGAAATTGCGTGATTTTTGTATGTAAGATTCCTTGTTATATTCCTGTAGTACTCAACTGCTGTACTATTAACCTCAAACATGCAAAAAATTAAAAATCCTGAAAAAATTCTCAAACCACAAAGATAGGTCTAGAATCTAGATCTATCTATGGTTTTCTTTGAAGGCGTCGCTATGCAACACCCTCTAAAGTTAACACTTAAATTTTTGGAATGGTAGGATAGGGCCGATTTATTTCTTTGTAATGATTTACATTTACCTAAAATTGAATTGAATTATAATAATAGTCTATAGTTGGGAGAATTCAGGAATTGATCAGATCAGTTTTTATCATTAATAAGGGTCGATTCTGTTTTCACTCAACATTTCAGATTTTCTTTACTTGTACATCTAGCATTGACCTCCTTATGAGCACCATTTTCTAACACCTGAACAATGTTGCAAAGTCCCTTTAAAAGGTTGGCCAGGCTAGGCTAAGTCCCTATATTACTATAAGTCTTCATCTTTAAGAAAGAGGAGGAAAAGAAGCACACCAGCAACAGCTTGAGAAAGAATACTTGAATTATGTCGCACCGGAGTGTTGGCTCAGTCAGTAGAGCGTCTGCCTCACAACCGGGAGGTCGTGGGTTCGAACCCCGGCCGCGTCATACCAAAAGATGTTAAAAGATGGGAGTTGTTGCTACCTTGTTTGGCGTTCAACAATAAGGGTTAGAGCAACGTCGATCTGGCGCTGCTCAGTGGCTGCCGGGCTCACGATCAATTGGGCAAAAGAATTTCCGTTTCGGTTTAATAAAATTTGGAGTGGACTATTAGGCTATTATTATTATTATTATTATTATTATAAAATACAAAATGTTGACCTTTGTATTTCATGCAATTGTAGGGTGGCCTATAGATAGCTAAGATTGGGCATGGCACGAACTTACAGAGAGTAAGAAAACACACATGTTCACTCCTTGCTTGCCTGTGAAGAATTGCCTGAGATTACAATCATAGTAGAAGCATTAGGATACTTTTTTAACATGTTGTACCCTCTATTGAAATCTCAAAATTTTCAAACACCACTGTTAAAAACTCACCAGAATACTCTCAACCAACAACTGATAGTCAACCTAAAAAGTAGTAAAATGCAATCAATTCAATTTACCAATGTTGGAAAAAATACTTTGAACATTTTAATCAGAAATCTATTGTCGATCCTTGGTAATTGTCGCTCTTTTTATTGTGTGCATTTCTCGGTTGCTGCTTGTGCTGAATCTCTGTGTAAATTCGATGTACTCAAATCAGTCGTAAAAAGAGTTCTGTTCAAAATATATAGCTTCATACAATCAATGTAAATCTAATCATTTGCTATTATGATCAGTAACATTTGGATTTTATTTGAACTATCTTCTCTGTTGTAGGACGAAGCAAGTGATATTTTCAGACGTGAAACTATCCCAGTGGAGATCATTTAAACGAGCAGCACCAGAAGGGAAAGGACTGTCCAGGAAAACCAAGAAGAAAATTGTTGATGTCAAATTCGACAAGGCTCACCTAGAGCAGTTTAACGTTGTTTATGAAGATGTTCCCAAGAAACTTCCATTCAGCAGGCTTTTCAAACCTTTCGTCTTTGCAGGAGTTGTAAGTGGAAGCACAAAACTTAGTTTCAAGAAAAGATCCCCCCCCCCCCCTCATAATATAATTCAATAATAAGCTATAGTAAATAAAAGGGATATTTTTTTAAAAAGTATTTAACAGTCAGCAGGATGATCATAACATATAATTTTACAAGCCCCCTCAAAGTCCTTGTAGCTGTGCCTTTGTCACATATATGACATGTGTTGTGTCTGTTGACCAAAACTATCAAAACAATATTGTTTGTTATTCTATTGTTGTCGATATACATCTGCAAGTTAAGTACGTATAAGTGTTGAAGTTTGTTTCTCCCTTTTTGTCCTCCATAAACTATAAAGAAAGTATTTTCTAACATGATAAACCCCTTTCATATCTATCTAGTTCACAGGATGTACCTTTGGTGGGGCAGCAATATGGCAATATGAAGAAGCACGAACCAGAGCAATCGACAGACTTAGACAGCATTACTCAGGTTTCTTTGATTCAAGAGAAAGAAAACAAGGAGAACTAAGAGAAATGGTAAAAAATTATACTTTTGTCTCTATACTGAACCTGTTGAATACTATGTAATATGTTGTTTGTTTCAAGCTAGAAAGGCATCATTTTACATAGAGTCAACGTCCCTCTGGCTCCAAACTGTTAATATGTGGTATAGAGCAAGTCTGATCATATGAAATAAGTTTTTTTACCATTTGGGTCAAAGTCCAGAAACTTATAAAAGTATTTATTGAAGTCACAACAGTTTCATGCTGTGGAAAGGTATCAAATTGTGGATATTTGAAGTGGCCAGGATTTTAATTCCAGAAACACATCTGTGTAAAAGAAATTCTTTACTGTCAACTGAATTTATATACATTGCATTGTCCATACTGCTGTATATATTGCAGTAGTTTGATATACTGTACTTTCTTTTCATCATACTTGGTGAATATAGATAAATATAAGCCACTAATCACTTCATTCATTATGTACTTGATCCAGATTGATACTTTGAAATGATTGTTTTAAATTGAATTAGACGCATTAAATTTAATGCGACTAATTCAATAGTCTAAACAACATTTATAACGACTTCATGTTATTCATTGTATTTCTTTTGAATCCAAATCAGCTGGATATATCTAGCCAACCTCCAATTGTTATTTTATTAGTTGCAAACATAGTTTCTTTTTGTTCATATTTGGTTTGTGTTCAAGTGTCCTCCTTATTTTCCTGGAGACATAAAAATGCGACATTAATTGTTTGCTATTTATTTTTCTCTTGTACTCACGATACATTTTTTGTTGTATCTTGCTATTCTGTGCTATTTATGTAAAAAGTTACATGGATTGGAAAAGAAGACATTGTGGTTATAGTTATTAGTTAATCTTTTTCTTTTCCCAGCATCCATGAGACTCACTTGAGAGTCTTCTCATTCTATTGTATCCCAAGTTGGCCACTCAGTATTCAAATTTGCATTTCTTTTCTTATTTAAAATCTTTATATATCAATTTGAAATCCAACTACCACATAAGTCTGTGAATATTGATGTGCATCCCCTCTTTCTTTTCTCTTCTTTTTTCTGTCTTTTCCCCCTTTTTACCAATATTTTGTTCTTCCATATTTGTATTATTATGTATCCTTTGAGGGTAGTCATACTATCAAGCTTTGCTTATTTTGTCAACCCTCCTGTTTGATGTTCTCGATTAGTTACACCCAGCCTTACCTTATTCTACATATATTCTTTTGTCATGTGTAAATTTGCAATATTTGTTTGTTATATATTTGTAAAAATGCAAAAGAAAAAGAAAATCAAACAGAAATAAATAAATCAAATCAAATCAAATCAAATCAAATCACTTCAAACCCTACAGTGTTTTGTATTCACTGTATTCACTGTTTTCTTGATTTCGTCTTTCCTGAATAGAATGATAATAATCGTAATTAATGATTGCATTGTTTTTAGATGAATCAGTGGTACAGCAGATTAAGTGGAACCCAGAAGGTTGTCCTAGGAATCGTAGTGGCTAACGTAGCAGTCTTTGCCTTCTGGAGAATACCAGCCATGCAACACTTCATGATACAATGGTTTAGTGCAAACCCTGCTGCTAGTAAGTTCATTCATCTATTCCTTCTGCCTTCTTTCATCCTGCCTCCTGTCTATCACTTTATGTATGTTTTGATTGCATCACTTCATACAGCCATCTCCATATCTTCTGTTACTTAAAAATCTTTCCTTTGTTTATCCTTTTCTCTACACTTCATCAATTTTCTGTCCATCCATATCTTTTTGTATATTATTCAAAATATTTTTTTGTTTATATCTCTATCTATTGATGAATATATCTACAAAGATTAATTAGATTTTCTGGAAATGGATAAATCAATACACAAAAAGCAGAAACAAAGCATCAATACATGAAACGGATTGAGAGAAACAATACAAGGAATCTGTTCCTTCTTTCGTGTGGTGCAGGTGTACTGGTACAGGGATTAAGGGATATCCTCTGTGACCACACAAATTGATTTGATAACTGCAATATATAAACTTATTGTAAGCTGAAGGAAAGATTTGTAATATTATGACATTGTTATCTTTACAGGTGCCACGTGCCTACCAATGATCCTTTCTGTCTTTAGTCATCACTCCCTCTGGCATTTAGGAGTTAACATGTATGTCTTATGGAGTTTCTCTGGCAGTATAGGGAGTGTGCTCGGCAAGGAGCAGTTCCTTGCAATGTACCTCAGTGCTGGTAGGTATATTGAGTTATTAGAGCCATTGTTTATGATTCTAGGAGGTCACCTGTCTTGGAATGTCAGTCTCTGGACGACTCCTCCAGACCTAGGATAATAACCCTTGGAAACTTACCCCCCCCCCCCCCCCCCCCCCCTCCACCTGCTACTACAATTAGGCCCTGAATTAGGCGTTTAAAAAAAATGTTGTATTGCCCTTTGCGACCGACCCAAAAATCTTGAAATCTATGGTCAGCTTTTTACAATTTTTGTTTTCTTTTTAATGTTTTAAAGAAACAAATGTTTAATGAATAACAAAATATGTACAGATGTATTAAGCATTCATAGCTGAGAAATATCAGCCCAAAAGAGAACAAAAAAACAAAAAAAAAAAAAAAAGATTTCTGACCGACCCATGCTTTAGCACCTAAAGGGCAATAAAACATCTTTTTTGTTTAGGTCTTATTGAATGCACAACTACCCCCTAATTTGATTACCCACTTTAAATCAATTGTCTGAGAGGTAGTTTTATACTTTATACTTTACAGCCTTCCTGGCACATGACATCTATTCTGTGTTGTATTATATGGAGCCCCTCCCTATTTTTACATACTTTGTATGATTGTATCACAAAGATAGAAATCTCTAAATCTGTTTTCTTTTTATTGATACAGGTGTATGGGCTTCCTTTGCAAGCTATGCTCTGAAGATAGCTACATCACGGTTCAATCCTTCACTAGGAGCTGTAAGTATCTTAATATGTTAACCCACAAACTTTATTATTTGATGTTATTCATACCATGGTCTTAGGTCATAGTCAAAGGCTGTGATATTATCACCGTAAAATCAAATTGTTCTGTTGTCAATAACAATCCTTATTGCATATAATTTTGCAAGAACTTTTCCTCATTGCTCATGTATAACATTGACAAATATCAAACATGATTATAATTTGTATCAAGTAGTAAACAGCTAGTGTGTACAATGATAAAATATAAACAATGTAAAAGCAGGTTTATGAAAAACTAGTTCTTGTCTCTAGTTTTGTTAATTTGTTCGTTCATATTAATAGCTTTATATTTTTGTTACAGTATACTGTACAAGCTACGCATATTATTTATATGTACACAAATCATTCATGTAATATGCTGTAAGGTCAATTATTGAACCTTCATATAATATATTTGTTTCAATATGTGTTACTATACCAGTCAGGTGCAATAATGGCTGTCTTGGGAGCTGTTTGTGTTCAGTATCCTGATGCTAGATTAGCGATCGTCTTTCTGCCTTTCATCACCTTCTCAGCAAGCACAGTGAGTAGTAACAGCTAGCTTTAAAAATTAAAAATTACCACTGCATCGTTTATGAATTCTGCTATATGAGCTGTAGCTGTAGCGGAGGGAGGGGGGGGGGGGAAGAACACATTTTTTAAATTTTAATTTTGGCCCCGAAAATTTAAATATTACATTGTCAGATATATTGTTCCAAGTCTTATTTGACATAGCCAGAGACTGTCAGAGTTAGACTATACTCAAGGCCTTAGGAAGTGTGGTAAAGTGTCAAATTAGAGTCTGTGCCTGCAGATTACTGGTGAACAGTATAAAAGATAGTGGTTTGTTTATGATGATGATGATGATGATAATGAGGATGATGATGATGATGATCAAGATCATGATAATGCTCACGATAAGGATGATGATGATCATGATGATGATCATGATGATCATGACGATGATGACGATGGTGGTGGTGGTGGTGGTGGTGATAATAATGATAACAAAATATTGCCTCAAGAAAAACAACACACTCAATGACAATCACTGTTTGAAGCAATTTTATGTAAATTTAAACACCATTCTTCCTATTTCAGTGTCTCTTTAAAGAATTGAATAGTACTTTTGAGAAACAAGAAAACACATGCAACAGTAATGCATCTAATTATATGTTCATCTTTTCTATATTTTGTGTAGGGCCTGGTTGGTCTCCTTGGTATGGAGACTACAGGAGTTCTTCTTGGCTGGCAATTCTTTGATCATGCTGCTCATCTTGCTGGTTTATTGTTTGGATGGTGAGTAGAACACATAAGCTGCTGTTTCCGTAGAGACTGAGTGAAGATTTCATTTGGAGGATATTTTTATGGAATAGAATGAAGAGGGACAGATGAAGGGGGAAATAATAAAATGTTTCTTTCTATGCAGTCATGAAAAACTAACTTTAAAGGGCAATCCAAGCCTTGTAATAAGTTGGTTTGTATGAAACCAGAAAAATAACAGAAACAGAATGGCAAAAGTTTGAAATGAATCAGACCAATAGTAAGGAAGTTATGCATGTTTCAAATATATGAGATCACTAAGTCTATGCGAATAGATTGTGACGTAGGTGGTGGATAACTCTCCCATTTGCCGTGTACTAAAATACCAGTACCACTAATTTCTTTTTTTCTCCTATTCCTTCTCCCTTGGGGCACTACTTTTAAAAATATATTATAGATAGCATATTAGTATAAGCCCTCCTGACCCATGATTTTTCGTAAACAATTAAATTTTAGACATTTTATATGTTGGAACAGATGGAAAAGTAGTCCGGCACTACATCACATAGACATTACCGCTTCAGCCAATATGAAGTGCCCATACGTATCAACTTTCAAAAATTCATTACTTTCTTATATTTAGTTAGATTTCACTACTTTTTGTTTTCTTACACAGTTACTATGTGAAGCACGGTCACAAGGTTTTATGGGGTGAGAGACAACACTACTTAGAGAGATGGCACAAACACAGAGGAAAACCTGGAGAGGCATGAATAGCAAGACTAAACAACAAACTCTCAAACTGTGTCACCAGTCTCTGTCTCGGTGAGAGATGGCACAAGCACAGAGGAATGCCTAGTGAGGTCTGAATGACAAGACTAAACATCAAACTCTCAAAGTATGTGATCATAATGGTGTTGATCTGAGGATGCTGGTCGTGAGCACCCTGGTGAAATGACCTCCATGGTTTTATGTGATGAAAACAGTTAAGGTTTGAATGAAAAGACTAAGCAACAAACTCTCAAACTTTACTATGGTGACTTGCTGGCTTTGATGATTAACTCGTTGTATACCATTTGATTTTGGTATGACATGCATTATTTTTCTATAGACTCCAATCTAAATTATATCATGTTTTAACAGGTTAAAACCATGGTGGAATGACGTGAATAGCGTTGAGGAAAATGAGGAAGAGGTAACTCTTGTTACGAGACAGGAAAATTAGCGTCTGTGATTGTCAACTTCATATTTAAGAGCTATATGTACTAGTGCTGGAGGTCCAATTGAAACTTGGTAGATGATAAGAAAAATGATGGCTCAATCTCTTGAAAATCGTTGGAACTGGCTAGAGTTCATTGGCTACAGTGTACACTTTAAGAGCAAAGAAATGCCATTGACTTTTGTATTTACATATAAATGTCCTCTTTCTGTGAATAATGCGAAATTCACTAAAGGCATCAATCTTTTTTTTTTAATGGTCTATTTATGTGATATCCATTTAATCCTGTACACAATATGAAATTATGTGTTGCAACAGGGACGTGATAGAGAAGGACTGGAATCAAGCCGCTCTCCTTTGACCCCATGCTCCAAGCCGCCGAAAAGTTATGCGCTAATCTGCAACTGTTGACCAGGTTGTGAGATAAAAGAGCGCATGAAATTTCAGGATTTAGAATTCATACATCAGAAATGGTATCACAACAACTGTTCGCTGTCCCTTTCAATGATTTCTCATCAATTTTTAAATATGTAATGAGTAGAACAAGCGACCACAAACTTGTGTAATTTCATCCTTTTTGCAACTGCAAAAATACAGAAAACACGCATTAGCCAACTTAATGTTATTGAAGATTGTGAATCATGGATTAAGTAACGGGACATTAAAACATGCACAAATTAGCATATTATCCTAAAATATTGAGTTTTTGTCAGGATGTAATTTTTCTTTTATCAACTCTTGCACACAAATTATAGGAAGGACAGAGTACTAAATTTGAAAAATTGGCTTGATGCACTATTCCCAAAACAATCCCCATATAAAGTTTTTGATTTACACTGAAATTTTGCTGGTAATTTAATAATTTGTAATAAATGTAAAACTGGTGCCTGGCTTCTGAAAGTCCCGGCAGTGGAAGCGCGGTTCGGAGCATGGAACTTCAAAGCCAAGTTGAATGTTTTATGTTACACATCCCTTTGTTATGCTTTAGAACTCACAAATGAGTTTGAATAAATGACAAGAGTTTCGCCTCCTTTCTTTCACCTCCCTGGTTGCAATAAGGGTATTTAAGGCTTAACCAGCCATGCAAACAAAGCTCTATTGTTATGAAACTCAATTACATAACAGAATGAACACTCCAGTAGCATTGTTTATATACACATCATTTGTAGACATTATTGCTTTTGTTTTTGCATGTCTTTGTTACGGACACATTACCATCTTTGCCAACCGTAAGCATGTATGTAGCATGCTGCCATTGGTAACAAAATTACTTGTAGGAAGGCTTTTATATTACACTCCATGCAAGTCAGAAATGTTACTTATTTTCCAGCAGATTTGAACTCTTAAAGCATATGATTATGGTGTTACAATCTATGATTGCAACCTATTTACTTGTACATACTTTGGTAATTAAATTACCTGATGAGGGACATACACTATTAAAAATCAAATTTACCACTTGCCATTGTGTTGTTTTATGTGTATTTTTGTGTTGACTACCTGATAATATATCCAGGGGGGGGGGGGGCTGTAGTCCTATTCTTATTACTTTTTATTTTTTGTTTGTATACTTTCATGATGAACATTTTTTTCAAATGTATATTCACTAGCAACAATGAAAACCTAAAGGCCCTCTGCTTTCACATTCTTTTGTCACGCTCTTGCTTCATATTATTCTTTTCTTTTTGAGTAGAACTTCCAAGTCCATACTCCACTTTCCATTCTTCGTTATGCTTTGAAACATGCAACTCACTTAGTTTTAAAAACACAAATGCCCTCAATCTATTGTGATGGTTGGTAGGGAGAGAAAAATCCTCGCAGTAACAATGATACAGTAACTCTACAGTCAATGTTAAGAAAAGAAATGAAAGGGTCAATAGATCTCTTGATATCTATTTCATATTTGTTTCATAAAGAAATCTTTTATTTACAAAAAACAGACATTTTCTCTGAATATCCCCAAATATAACAAACACATATTCGTAATGAAATTGTTTGACAAAGATAATTTGTAGGAAAAAAATATACATATTCAAAATACATGTACTACATAAATTAACATTTACCCAGAAAATAGATTCAAATTTTGACTTATACCATTTCTAGATGAAACTAATTACCCTTACAGATTCATGCATCACACTGTACTTGTCAACTTAGAAAATCTCTTCATTGAAACCTAACAGGGAGGTACATCAGAACAGTGAGTTATGACTTTTAAATAACATCTCTCAATGAAAGCAATGAATTGGTCAAATGAAGCCACATGAATGCATTATTCTTCCCTATTGAGCAAAAAAAAAAGGATTTCTTTAAAAAGTAATACATTTCCAAGATGCATGTACATGCACCAGGCGAAATCGCAGAAAGATGCAATGACACTTTAATTGGTTAAATATGGCTATGAAATTGAACACGCGCACTGAGATGGGTAACTGGGTACGACACTTTAGCTAGACTTATTTGATGATACCTTTATTTCGGTACCTTTATTTCGGTATCAATTACTGGTACAGCAAATGGTTGCTTTGCTACATGATGTAGATGTAAATGTGCAATTCTTACCGCATTTGGCTTACACATTTTTTTTCATCATATTTCTGCTGTAGAACCGTTTATAAAACAAACGCTGCATGTTCTGTAGCTCATGCATCAGTAAAAATGAACAAGCTGATCAAATAATAAGAGGGTAAAAAAAACTTGGCTTGTTCATTTTCCCTTATGAGACTAAACCAGCATATAATGTTTTTTTCATTATATGCTTGTAAGCAGATTATTTGGAATTTGGAATTTGTAAATTCACATCCATGCAGCTGGAGATTAACATATTGTTAGATTTAATGGACAGAGATAGTCCGGCAGCCATCTCGATATACCTTGTTTTAGGGTCTATAGTTTTTTTTTCTTCGGATTATAGTTCCTTAGACCATCAATTTGAAGAATTCGATTGCTGACACTCTGTCAGCATTGAGCAATTTGAGATATGTGACGTCATACAAAATGGCCGCTAAAATCCCCTTTTTAACCAAAATTAATGATATAAAAAGTTTTAACAGCATTTTACTACATTAAATGGCAGTCAAATATCTTAATTTTTTTCTAGAATCATCACTTAATAAAAATTGCGATGCTGTATGATCACAAATGATATGCAAATTGGCATAATTCGGAATGGCGCCCTCTATAGACACATTAACTTGAATAGTTCAAAATGATGGCCAAATACCAATTTCTAACATGAGATTATCATATGTCATGAGTCAGATGCACTGGATACAGTGAGTAAAAATTGTGCTGCACATTTATTTTTATTTTGTAATTTTATACTCGAAGAAAATATGGTTGAATTTTATGCTCTCTGTCCCATAGATATGAGGTGGCATATGGTGATAAATGCCCATTTTCAGTGACAGCGTTGAGAAACTAGATTTGTATTCTAAGGTACTAGATTCTTTTAAATTAACCTACAAATTACGAACTACCGATACGATACAGGACTATATCCGTTTATAAGTTTGCTTCAAAATCTTGAAATTGGTTTAAAAGCCCTCTAAAGTGTTGGGAGCCCTAAAATATTCCATGCGGAAGAGGGTGTCATTTAACACTTAATTCTGCAAAGTGAGGTCGTGACTGTAATGCATGCTTCCACACGCATGTTTGCAAATGAGCTCTCTTTTAATAACATTTTCTACAAACGCTTGAGGTAGTTTGAGGTAGTAAGGCAAGGTTTGGGGGTATTTGGAGCTCCTAGTCTTCGGACCCTTGATAGCCACACGTTGATACGAGCCTCTGACATTCAGTTGGTTGTTGACTGTCCATAACATGAAGCAAAGCATTGAGTAGGTTGAGTGATGACATATGACCATGCTGCATCAACATTGCAAATTACTGAGTCCTAAGGGAGTCGAATCTTCTGCTTCATCACTTTCAGCATTGTACCCTATCCAATGCCAAAGTATGCCCCAAGAGTGTCGCATCCCGTCAACGCATGTCCTGCCAACATCGATGGAATGATATCTCCTAACTTGTCTACATTGGCAGGAACATCAATAACAGTTCAATTTGTGAAGGGGCGTCTCCATGGTCATTGGCGTTTTATAAGTCCGTCATGTAGATAATGATCGATGCAAAAGTAGTACGTAGACGTCTGTGTCATCCACTAGGACCCTAACATACATCTTCTCATTAGCATCAATTCAAATCGCTTGCTGTACTTCGATGTTGCCTGCTTCATCATAACTATGTTGTGGATAGACCTTTCCTTGCCATGACATCACTGCCTGGAATCACTTCAACAGGAACCTCATCTTGACTGTAAAGGCCTGCTTGTGATTTTGCCTATTTCTGAGCACCCAATCATCCTGCAGACTCGCGCATTTAATTACGATGTCGATCAACTGTAGTTTGTTGTCATGAAAAGATAGTGAAGTTAGCAACACTAGAGACACGTTTCAACAACTTCTCTCCCTAGCTTTATTGATCTTTCCAAAGCTTTTGACTGCGTACAACATAAACGCCTATGGAAGATTATGAGCTGGATGGGCTTTCCAGCATATATAATTCAACTCATCCAGTCGCTCTACCAATACCTAGAAGCAACAGTAAGAACAGAGAATGGCTACACCGAAATGTTCACTATTGGTCAAGTTGTCCGTCAAGGCTGTATCCTATCACCATCTATGCTGTATTCATTATGAGAAAGGCATTTTATGGTCAAGTTTCTGTTGGTGGACGAACGATCACCAACCTAAGATACGCCAACAATACAACACTCTCTGGCGTATTGATGGGGAAGGGTTGGGGGGGGGGGGGGGTTGGGACAGTTCAACCCCCAAACAAAATTCAAACTGTTTTTTCTATATATTCGATACCAGTGATTTACAAATGTTGCTGAAATGACATGATTTTCATGGGTTTTTTCTCACTTTTTAGTAAATTATTATTTGTTAAGCGTATGTTGGAAAAG